TAATGGTTTAGGGCTAATGTTGGATGGCTAGCGAAAAGTACATGGAATGACAAATTAGTGAGTTGACAAATAGGTAAAATGATGCAAAGAAATAGCGACTGGCTGATGCTGTGACAAGAAGACACAATTTTGAAATAATAATCAAAATACTGGAATTAAGTCTTGACTTTTCAAACCTGCAATTACTGTTTTTTTAGCCACTTGGTGGCAGCAGAAAAACATTGGGAAAACAACATTGTCATATCACCTGTGAACTTGTTAGCAAACATTTGCTTATTTCCAGATCCAGCAGTCACAGAGCAACATTATCATTCATTTGGAGTCGTGCTTGTGTCCACCTGATGAATGTTAGTCCTATATTTACTCTCTACCAGCTCTGTTTTGATCTCCACCAACTACTGAGATAAATGTCTTGCTCTTTATGCTAAATGCTCACCCAACACACATTTTGTGCCAGACAGCTAAACAATGAGGAGCTGCAGAATTTAAAATCACTACTACGAGAAACTCCTTTCACATTGTCACATTGTTTTATTTTTGACCCTGTTCCATGACCGCCATTGGCCCCCTGTAGTAGCTAGCATCAGATTTATGACAATGGTACTGGCCAACAAGTCAAGTCAAGTCAAGTCAATGGAACTTCCCCCATCCTGCCTCCAGGTGTTAGTCAGACCCTTTTAATATACAGTCTACGGTCAGACCTCTCTAGCGCTCAGCACAACTACCTCTGCTGGGCCAGCTGGTACTGCCATCACTCGGAGCAAGCAAAATTCGCTCAGGTAAGTCACAACTCTTACACACATAAACACACTTTTTGCCCTTTCCTTCATTATAAACCATTACATTTAAGACAATGAGATGGTGTCTATACAATGTTTTTTGTATTTTTATATCTTTTTAAAAAGGAGTAAAAAAAGTCATCTATTTTGGTTTACAATAATGTACTCCTCATAATTAAGAGTAACAGACACTCGACTTGAACATGATCAGAAGCAAAAACATTCATTTACAGTAATCTTGATAAAACTATTCACATTGTGCGACTTATTTCATATTTTGAAACATTTCTTATATGTTGTGATTAAAGTTGCAAATGGAACATTATGTGTTGATGGTGCCAAAAATAATGCGCCTAGACCCATTCAGTCCAGTATAGTGTACCAGTAACTGAATACCGCAACATGTGATGTTCAGTAGTTTCTGGGATAGGCCTGAGCGTTTTATTTTTGAAGTGGATCTTCATTTCATTTATTTATCGAAATTAGATATTTATATCACACAAAAGCGTGTCAATGCAGTCACAGTACAAACAATTTTTTCCCTATGAAATAATAATGAAATATTAAAGCTGCAAGCAGCGTTGGGCGGGCCCTCGCACTTGTAAGCGCGTCCGCGCGTGAGCCGGCCGAGTTGCATGTTCTGGAGCTCTGCCGGTGCGGCTGTGAATTTCCTACGCGGTTCCGACGCCGCATGAAGGTGTTATATGTCACTTCCTGTGTCCCCTATGTGGAGCTACATAGCACTTGCCGCTATGAATATAAATCGGTATTGACGTGTAGATGTCTGCGGGGTGGGAGAGTTAACAAGCACGTAAAGTTTGTTTCAGATGTGAGCATGTACACTGAACAATAATGTACCCAAACAATAAAATAAATTCCTTTATATTTCCCTGCCTTGTTGTTTATGTGTACATACAGAGGAAGAATGTGAGAACAGCACACATTTCATCTTTACTGTGTGTTAGAGCATGGGAGAACAGTGGATACTTTTAATACAGCCCACACCCCTAATACTGTGTAACTATAACAAGTAGAGAACAGAAGAAAAAGATGTTCTTTCTTTACAACTGTCTGCATAGCTTATTCATATTGTGTAATGAATGAAAATAAATAGGCCTACTAGGCTCCTCTCTACTTTGACATTTAAGATTACCTTGTTTGATCCACCTTCATACACATGTGACATTACTGTACAACTTGAGAAAGGTGAGTTGTTTTCTGCTCCAGCCTGCCTAAAAGAAAAGCGTTTTTGGGATTAAATGGACTTTATTAGCTGCTGCAGTGCAGGATGAACTCAGAACAGACCCATTTCTCACCTTATTATTCTAAATCATGCAACGAAGAAGAAGAAATGCATAATAAATCCTGGGAAAAAATCTGTCCACAAATACTGTACAGCACGTAGTCTGATGAACAAGACTTGTGTTATAGCTGACTTGGGCAGTGAAATGTTTAATTTTTTAATTCATGTGGTCATAGTTGTCCACAACTCAAATCAGAATATAAGAAGAAATGTTTTATACCACCTCAAGAAGGCTTCCTATCAGAAAGGTAGGAAGGTATTTCAAATGTACAACTGCAGTACTTAAATCTAAGTAAAGTAATTTCCCTGACATTTTTGTGTTACTTTACTTTTAATAGACACATGTAACAGGTTTTATACTTCCTGTGAGTATAATCCAATCAATCTTATTTTCATACTGTATATCCGATGTGTAATTTGATAAATTGTGTTGTATGTCGTGCTCGCATCTCAGAGAAGACTCTGACTGCAACATGCGTCTTTGTAAAGAGAGAAACGGACAGAAAAAGTCTCTAACTCTGCCTGTCAGCTCGCTCTGCTCCGTTAAAACTGAATTTACCATACAGAATTGAATACGAGTGCACTCCAGATTTAGCTGCAGCCAGCTGACCGTGTGCTTCTCTCTATACCGCAGTTCTGTGTCCATGCATGCAGCAAACTGATAGCACTGTCTGTTGGAGCGTCTACATGAAAAGAGAAGGAAGACATTGCTGGTAGTATTGTCTTCAGAGTTGTTAAACACCTCAGTGCACTGAAGGAAGCCATCTGACTGTGTGAGGGGCAAGATCGTTGATGTCTGCAGGCAGAGTAGGAGCTCTCCTGTCTGACTGGTCCACCAATAGCAGAGAAGATGACCCCTTGAGACACAGCCCCTCCTCATTTGCATAATGAGGCAGAAATGCATACAAAAATTTAAAAAAGACAGGCAGAAATAAATACCATGGGTGAAAATAAATAAGGTAAATAAATACAAAGGAAGAATAAAACAGACAAAAATATTAAAACACACACATAAATAAATACATTAAAAAAATTAGTAATAAATAAAGTTGAATAAACAAATAAGGTAATTATAACAAAGGTGAATAAGTAAAGGCACTAATTAAATATATACATTTATGTCTCCTTGTATAATTTAATTACTACCTACATTTATTTATTTACTTAATTTTTTGTGTATTTAATTGGATGCTTATTTATTTATTGAGCATTTATTTATTTCTGTATTTATTTCTGACTGTGTCAGGATCGGTCCTCCATAGCGGGGTGGGAGAGTTATCAAGCACGTAAAGTTTGGTTCAGATGTGAGCATGTACACTGAAGTTACAACAACTTCCTGTGTCATGGCGAAGACTTGATCTCTGACGCCACGCCACGGACACACCCATTGACGAAAACTTGCAAATAGCACAACTTTTCATCTTCAATGCCTTTAGAAGGCACAGCACAAATTTGAGGTCGGTCGGACTAAATCCCTAGGAGGAGTTCGTTAAAGTACGAAGTGTGTAAATCATCCAAAATTTGACGTAAAATTCAAAATGGCCGACTTCCTGTTGATTTTAGGGCATCGCTCCAAGAGGCTTTTTTGTGCGTCTGGACAAGATACACGTACCACAGAAAATTCGTGCACGTAGGTAAAACGTGCGGCGGGGGCTGCTTCGTTAAAAGTCACTTCCTGTTGCCAGCAGGTGGCGCTATGACTGTCTGTGAATGTCAGCATGTACATGTGTTCAGGGCGGGACTCTCATCCTACATGTACAGTTTGGTCCAGATGTGAGCATGTACACTGAAGTTACGACAACTTCCGTGTCATGGCGAAGAGCTGATCTTTGACGCCACGCCACGGACACGCCCATTGACGAAAACTTGCAAATAGCACAACTTTTCATCTTCAATGCCTTTAGAAGGCACAGCACAAATTTGAGGTCGGTCGGACTAAATCCCTAGGAGGAGTTCGTTAAAGTACGAAGTGTGTAAATCATCCAAAATTTGACGTAAAATTCAAAATGGCCGACTTCCTGTTGATTTTAGGCTATGGCTCCAAGAGGCTTTTTTGTGCGTCTGGACAAGATACACGTACCACAGAAAATTCGTGCACGTAGGTAAAACGTGCGGCGGGGGCTGCTTCGTTAAAGGTCACTTTCTGTTGCCAGCAGGTGGCGCTATGACTGTGGGTGAATGTCGGCATGTACATGTGTTCAGGGCGGGACTCTCATCCTACATGTACAGTTTGGTCCAGATGTGAGCATGTACACTGAAGTTACAACAACTTCCTGTTTCATTGCGAATCATCGACGCCACGGACACGCCCATTGACGAAAACTCGCAAATAGCACAACTTTTCATCGTCAATGCCTTTAGAAGGCACAGCAGAAATTTGACGTCGATCCGACTAAATCCCTAGGAGGAGTTCGTTAAAGTACGAAGTGTGTAAATCATCCAAAAATGGCCATAAAATTCAAAATGGCCGACTTCCTGTTGACTTTAGGCTATGGGTTCTTGAGGCTTTTTTGTGCGTCTTGATACGATACATGTCCCCAGAAAATTTCGTACATGTAGGTTGAACGTGAACGAGGGGCTAATCATTTCCAATTTTCTAGGTGGCGCTAGCGAGTCATTTTGCCACGCCCATGTGCGAAACTTGTAGAATACGAAATTTTTCACCGGTTCTGACATGTTTGCAAATTTTGGTGAGTTTTCGAGTATGTTTAGGCCATGTCATTTGGGCCTACTTTGCAGAAAAAAAAAAAAAAAAAAAAAAAAAAAAAAAAAAAAAAAAAAAAAAAATAATCCGAGCAATTTCAATAGGGACCTCGCACGGTCGTGCTCGGGCCCTAATAATTTCTAATACAACATGATAGGAAACCCCAAACCGCATCTATCAATGACGTGGTTCAAAGTTCACGTAGAGTACCTCACTGCGCATGCGTTTAAATCATGGCAGCACTGGCTGTATCATCCAACTGGTGAGGTTGAGAAATTATTACCATAGTAAAGTTTTAATGATAGAAATGGGTTGTTAACTCATTCATTTTTATACGTGTGAAACTCTACACGGGGAGTGTACCGTACAGGAACTGAAGGAACATCATGACAGCTAACGAGGATCAAGAGGTATGAATAATCAGAAGTAGGCTAGCTGCTGTTAGCGGCTAACTGCTAACTGCTTGACACTAGCGTGACTGCTAGCTGCTCGTTGGACGGCAAAACAAGTTAGCATGTCAGCTTTTATTCAGTGTGCACAAGCTCCATTTGGCTAAAACAGCAGTCAGACCAGAGTGTCAGTGTCTTTCTAGCTACTCTTGAGCCCTGACAAGCGTCCTTCATAACGGAGGGTGGGATTAACTATCGTTAAGGGACTTTTCACTTTCCTGAATACAAAACGTCCACGAATCCAGTCGGTGTAACGATATTTTACCCATAAAACAGGAACATGAGTCAGCTTTACTGAATAACTTCTGCCACAATATGCAGTGATACATGGTAACAGTGGTGGCTTTAAAAAGGGTTACATTTTAAGCCTGGAGGATTACATCCATTACCTAAAGTTTACTATTCTCTTGTGACTGGTCTTGAGCCATGTTATATCCTGCATACCCTTGTTAAGTTTAATTTACCATATTTCTGAATGGGGTTTGGTGCACAGAAACTATCAAGACAAGCTGCTGTTGATCTTATACTTGACTAACTTACTGTCACACTCACCCAGAATAATGCACATGTATATATCTGTAACGTTGTTCTAGCACCTAATCACCACAGCAAATTCCTCGTATCTGTAAAAAGCTCCTTCTGATTCTGACTTCTCCATCACAGATGGAGTTGGAGGCTCTTCGCTCCATCTATGAGGGGGATGAGTGTTTTAAGGAGATCAGTCCAGTTTCCTTTCAGTTTCGGGTGAGTGCTGTCTTGAGTCCTATCTTAGCCTGCTTTAAAAGACACATAACCTGTGGCTCCTCAACACCCGGTTTCAACAGAATATAAATCAAATGAAATTGATAACCTTTAGAGATGCTTTTTAAAAATATTATTTTTAATCCGAACAAACTGCTATGACTAATTCTGGAGCAGCATCTTGTCTTACCTTCTGTTTTAATGGTATACGACAGATAGGAGACCTCGAGGACACCAAAGCGTTCATCCTGGATGTCACGTGGCCAGAGGTGTACCCTGAGACGGCCCCACAAATCTCCCTTGATGCCTTTTTCAACAACAGAATGTAAGCTGTGCTCTATAATTATCCTTCTTCTGTTATGCATTAGTAAGTAAGTGAACTTTATTTGTACAGCGCTTTTCACAGACAAGAGTCACAAAAACATGAACATACAGGAAGGAAATCACAGAAGATAGAATGACCACCCGAGCCACACGAAGAAGTGAGCTAAAACACCTATTATGTAAAAAAATGCACAACAAGTACACAGTATGTGGGAAAAATACTCAATAAATACAGAGTGAGGAATAAAAACACAAGATACAGACCTCGTGCAGACAGGTTACCCAGAAAGCTGTCTAAACCGGTGTGTCTTTAGCTGCCTTTGGAAAGAATCGAGAGAATCAGTAGACTGAGTGCGGGTGGAGTATTCTAAAGTTTGGATACAACGGACTCAACACCTCGATCCCCTCGGAGCCTTAAGGCGCCAAAGAGGGTGATGAGTATGGGCATAGTAGTTCAGCCACATATGCAGGGGCCTGACTGTGCAATGCTCTTTAAGTAATAGTGAGAGTTTTGAACTGGATCATATATGTGACAGGGAGCCAGTGAAGAGATCTCAGTATGAAGGGTGATGTGAGACCAGCTTTTTCTCCTAGTGAGGATCCTTGCGGCAGAATTCTGAATTACCTTCAGATAATCCAGGGCAGACATGCCATGTGATGAGAATAGCGCGTTACAGCGGTTGATGAAAGATGAAATAAATGTGTGTTTAGCTGTTGAGACTTCTGATCTCAGTTTACTGATTTTTAGTTCGCTCCCTAGCATGGGTGTTGATGGATGTGGATTGACCAAATATTGCCCATAAATTTTGCACGAGTTTTCATTGGAAGCACTGATGGCAGATTACAAGATGGCAGCAAAGTCTGGAAACACTTTGTGCCTTTTGCCCTTCCAGGCTTATAAACTGTATGACTGTACTACAGAGAATATAGGAATTTTGAGGTAAGGCCACTATGTGTAGAAATATATCTTTATTTTTTTTTTGGACACATTTGATGTGATGGTCATGTTGTTGTTTTTGTTGTCTTTATGTTGGTTTAATAACAGCTCTGCAGAGACAAAGCAGCAGATCCTGTCAAAGCTGGAGGAGCAGGTGGAGGCTAACCTGGGCACTGCAATGATGTACACACTGTTTGAGTGGGCCAAGGAGAACCAGGAGGCCCTCATGGAGAACCACAAGCCTGTAGTCACATCTGTGGTAAGTATATTTCACTACTGTGACTAAATGCATCAGTGCAGTTTTCAGTCCTTGTGTCCATTTTTGGTACTTAGTGGTATTTCTGCAGTGCACACTGCTCTTGTCAGTCAAGCCAATGCTTGTGACATAATCTTCCTTGAACAGTCCTCCCTCCCTCCTTCCCCTCATCAGTTTCAGGTTAGAAGAGCATCATAATTTACAGTTTGAATGATTGTTGGGCAAATAGGCAGAGGTATCAGGTTAGAACAAAATAACGGTTGATTATTTCTTGTTGTTGCAGACGTTGACATCCAGCAGTGAGGTGACAAGTACCACCACAACTGGCAAGAAGAGGGAGAAGAAGGAACAGCTGACCAAATCTCAGAAGAGGAGGATTATCAGCAGAACAGGTACATCAGTCACACGGTCCACAGTAAAGAAGGCTTCCATTTTATAGACAATCATCTCAAAATACCATAGATTTTTATATTGAAACCTTCCTTCCAGACAGCCATTGCAGTCCATTTATTTCATATAGGGAACAGTAAAAGTATCACCCAAATGGTCAGTTTAAAACCTCTATTACAGTTCTCAGACCCATTTCCTGCTTCAACTTTGACCTACCACACTTGCCGTAGTTGGATAGTTGGATCAAGATAAACTATTGACTTGTTTGTTGACAACCTGTCTCGTTGTACATTACTTGCCCAGTTGGACTTCTTTTAGCAGTGTTGCAGGGTTCTGAGATCGCAGCAGTTACTTTGTTCAGTAGCCAGAGCTACAAAAGTTAAGCCAAGCGAGAACCTTGAAAAGTGAAGCCTATGCGGACCTTAATCCTGCAGTCTTTGTAACGGCCAGCAGGGATCCACTGGTTTCATAAAGAAGTCCTCATTGTATAGAAGCGTAAGGACAAAATGAACCTGCTTCTCACTTGATTTATTACCTCACTAAACACATTCCAGGTGAGTTTATGGTCTCAAAAGCTTAGTAAACAATGGTACAATTTAGAGGAAAATGGTCGATAAATCAGGGTGTATTTTAAGGGAGTGGCCACCTCGTGATTGACAAGTCTCTGCCATGGCGACCTGTCGGGCGTAGCAATGTGTATCCCTCCTGAGTGCCTCCATCTCGTCCAAATATGGTCATTTTCTGGTTCAAAACAAAGATGGAGATGTCCAGTATACCAAACTTGAGGCTTCAAAACAGTAGTCCACAAACCCCAAGTCCCAAGTTGTAACTGAACCCTGTTTAAATTGCTGCCCCATTCCACCAAAAGGATGTGCATCATTTTATAAACATTTCTTCCTGACATGTTCGACAGCTGTGGAAACATTAGAGTCTCCACTAAAAGTTTACATGAAGTTCTGGTTTCCTTTTTTCTTATTTCCCTCACTTATTTTTCACAACCTGTTTGTCATTCTTTGAAGTCTCAAATGTGGCTTTCTGAAACCACACCTCACAGTAGTTACCTATAACCACAGCCTATATTTTAAAGTCGGTGCATATCATGATGATTTCTGCTTTCAGATAACAAAGGAGAGCTGCCAAGAGGTTGGAACTGGGTTGATGTTATTAAAGTAGGTGCATTTTACCTTCACTCCACAAGATGGTGCACTTTATCAGCTAGAAGCCTGCAGTGATGGGTAATATTAACCTCACCATATTCTTGTCTTTCTCTTCCTCAACTTCACCACTTCCCGATCCCCCAGCATGTAAGTGAAAAACCACCTTAATTAAAACATGTTTAAAGTCCTTCCCACAACGCCATGTCTTATGGGTTTTTGTTCTGTTTTTTTTTTGTTGCAGCTGAGTAAAACGGGAGGAAAAGATGACGAGTAGGCGTGAGGGCAGTGAACTGATGCTGCTTTATACAAGGAAGAGCAGTGACGTCTGAACTCACTGCAGCCTGTTGATGCTGCTACTCCTGTCTAGATGCCTTCACATCCTTCAGCTTCAACATTTCAACACTCAACATGGCTACTTCCACCCTGAGAACCAAAGCGGGCTCGATAGCAATGGACTTCAGGACTCGCATACGTACACACACACACACACACACACTTCCAGCTAAACTGAGACTTTGCGCTGGGAATTATTAGAAGCCCTCTCTGTGTGTTATGTGTTTGCACTGTTTGTAGAATGCAGCCATGTGAAGAGGAACCTATCAGATTTTGTTTATCATACACAAATATTCTGCTCATCCATCAGGGCGGAGTGTGCTTAAGATCCTTGCTGTCACTGCCATGTTTCCAGTCTGTGAGTTTAGGCCCAGCTGCCAGGCACAGTTGGATTGTGTTTCTAAATGGATGTGTCAAAGTGTCGCGTAGCATCCTGCTGTTACTTTAAGGTATCATGTGACTTTGTGAAAGCAGAGAAATTTTTAATGACACACAATGTTACTATTTTCACCATTTTCTGATTTGGATGAATGTTTCTTTTTCCCCAAGAATTGAAAACCTTAAATTTTATACATAAATAAAACCACATGTTGTACTTCTTGTCTAACAATGTAATTTACCATTAGTTAGATGTCTTCTGTCAGATTTAAGAGTATGACTGCTGTATTTATGTTAAAACTAGTCTATCCTGTAGTCATTTTGTGTACATATCTGTTTCCATCGTGTGCAGAGCCGCAAACATCCCTATAAACGCACAAGTGCAAAGACTGACATCTGTCTTCAGTCAAGCACTTCACTGTTTAACACAAATCAGCAGTTCTTGCATTAAATGTAAACCAGGGGAGACTCTTTTCAGGCCACATTATGGGCGAAATTACCTGCTACTGGTCCCGAAAGTGTGAAGGTACAAATTGTTTGAGTTACAAAGGAAGTGGAAGGATTTTTTCCTTCAAAATAAAACAGTCTGATTATTTCAAGGAGTACTCAAGTAGTTTGGTTGTGGGTGTTGCTTTCAAAGAGGACACTGAGATCAGGTCCTCTGTCATGAGATAGGAGTTGAAAGTCTACAGTTACTCGAGTGTTGTGCATGTTTTTAAAAGGCTGCTCCTGATGTTACTTTGAAGGCTTAATATCTTTACAGGTAACACATACCTGCACACCATAAAGTCAGAATAAAAAATCCTGCACGCTGTCAGTCGCTATTATTTACATTTTTGTTTGACCAGAAACAGCCCGGTGCCGTTTGGTATGTGAATGTTTTTGAGGAAAGTCGGGTATAAAACGTCAAAGTGAATACAAGCGACTGACAGTGTGAGATGTTTATTATTACTTCTCATATTACATAATTAAAATGTGTCTATTCTTGGAACACAGTAGAGAGCATGGACAAAGTTTGAGGGAAGCTGTACTAATGACCTCAGTGTTTCTAAAGTCCTTGCTATAGTCCTGGTACAGACCAGAAAAACTCTTTTTGTCACTGGAACGGAACAAACAATGTGTTTGTTTCAAGTCTATGTGGTGGGAGTGAAGTCAGCATAAAAATGTCATTTAGTATCTGAACAAAACTGCTGAAAGACACCACATGTAGGAGAACATATGATGTTGACTACAGCTTAAACATAATTTTCCCACTAATTGTGTAACTTCTGTAAAGTTAATGTGTGCTGACCAAATCTAAATGTTTACTTATTTAATTCTGTCAGAAACGCAGTATGTAAACTATAACACTTGGCTTGAATGAGAAGACGTGGCTGGAAGGATATATACTGTAAAAGTGATTGTGGGAGACTATTGTTAACGCTGGCTCACTGAAATGATGAGTTGTATTTTGAAATTTGAAACCGGAAGTGGAGTATGTGTCTCACACGTGACAGGTGGATGTGTCTGACAGCGGGCGGAGGCGACAGAATGTGGAGCTGCTACAGAGACGGGCTTTTTCCCAAAAAGAAGAAGGTAAGAGTCTTTTGACGACAAATAAATTGTCAGTACTGGCTTTTTGTTAGTTAGAAAAGTCTTTACAGTTTTACATTTTATCGAGGCTCCGAATTAATTAACTGCAGTAGCCCTCTGCAACTAAAGGCAATTAAAAAACTTTAACGTTACTGAAAATAATATAAGACGCAAATCATCTGTTATTATTAATATTACGTTAATCCATTACAACATTGCTGATATATTTTATATTGTATCCACTTTTTCGTTGTGTGTAAAAAGAAAAGTTCAGTGACGCCATACTGTTAAAAATGATTAGGCCTATGGTTATATTTCACCTTACAGGCCAACGCTCATATGGTAGGATATTATATAGCCTACACATATTGTTCATGTATATCTTTGTTATATTTTGTATAATTCCCAGTATTTTATAAAGCTGGATATCAGTCTCCATGGTGCTGTGATATTGGACACTTTATGTCTTGCAGGAGGAAAAAGAGGCAGTAACATTTCCAGCTATAAACAATGGCCCAACTTCACTATGTCAGGTGATCTACGTGCATTATAGGTATTATTATGTAGGAGCTGGGTTTCTGTAGGAAACAAAACATTCTAAAGAGAGACGGAGGATGAACACCACTTTGGTCCAGACTAGACGATCTTAACAACTATTAGATGGATTTTCATAACATTTAGTACATACTGTACATTTGTACATTACTTACTTGTGACTTTGGTAGTTTTACCTCAATCATGTATCATGACAGTCTGCCAGGGACGGATGTCCACATATATTTTGAGGGGAAGTGGCAAATTCTTTTTTTAAAAGGGCAACCAACATTACACTTGAATTTAAACGGCTTTGTTTTCAATAATTACATGAAGGGATGAATTTTAAAGGAGTGCTCCACTGATTGTACTCATCAAGATCAGTCTTCTTGTCATGGGGAATATATTACTATTCTATAATGACTTCTTGGCATCCACTGCTTCCATTAGGACCATTTAAAAACTCATGAATCCACAAACACAATACTAGATAACTGATGTACCACTTAATTTGAATATGACAAACTGAGGTTTGAAAATACTTTAGAATAGTACCTTTCATTTCTTGTAAATAGATTAAACGAAAGTTTGTTGGCCTTAACTGATCCATCGCTGTGTCCGCTCTGATGCTTTTATTTTGTAGAGGACAAACAGAAAGGGGCATGACACCAAACTGAAAGAGGAGTCCAATATTACAAATCAACTCAGAGTAAGTACTTCAGGTCAAACTCTAACATTGAGGCATTAAATGTTTGCATATTTCTTTTCTTTTCTCTGTTGAGTTAGTTATGACTAAAGCAATCCAAAAGTACATTTTTACAGCTGAATTATCTTGCATGTCTCCAGTATTCACTACCACTGCTGCAAACAGACAACCCCCCCAAAAATCCTTACTTAGAGGACAAAATAACTGACACACTGCATCAGGGCCTTTTTTTCAAGGTATGTCCTTTACAGACATGTACAGTATATGTCAATCAATGTGACCATTCCATCCTTTAAATTAAGTAAAAAGACATAGCTGTAAGCATGAGGCAACTTCTTTGTAATTTGTCTTTAAAACTCAAAAGTGCTCAACTCAAATGACCTGCCAGACCTAAAGTTTTTTTTTATATACAGGTTAAGGCTGCCAAGGCCTTACATAAATATGGGAGAACAATTGACGACTCACAGTTACTAAGGAGCATAGAGGCTGAGGATGAGGACAAAGAAAAAAGAGTGACAGACACTTCTCTGTCTGTTAGGTCAAACAAAAATCATGTGGACAAAAGAAGTGAAAATAAACTCCCAGGGACTCACTTGTTGTGCGGTACAATGACCAATGAGGTTCAAAGAAAGAAGGAGCCGCAATGTCTTGTTGAAGAGAAGAGATTCATGGTCTACATATGTGGTGGATACAAAGGTAAGAATTAAGAAATCTATATATCTTAAAGCATGAAACATTCTGATTGGCAGGTGTTCATTCAAAATTATATTCCTGGATCACTTTTAATCACTTTTCTAAGTTAGTCTATTTGTCTAGTAATAAGTAGAAATAGAAATTTTAAGAAAAAAAGCTTATCTTGCTTTTCTGGTGGAGAGTTGGGGGAGAAATAGATAGCACTCCTGTCTCTGTACAATAAATATGAAGCTGGAGCCAGCAGTCACTTATCTTACCTTAGCATAAAGGCTGGAAAGGGGTTTTAACAGCTAGCCTGGTTGTTTCCAACAGTAACAACCTACCAGCATCTCTAAAACTCATTAATAGTCCGGAACACAACAACCCGTCCAACCACAACTGTGGTTTTTACACTTTGTTTTTTTATTGTTAAACAAACAAGGTCTAATGTATTAATTAGTTTGTGGTATATTTACTGTACAGACATGAGTATGGTATCAATTCTCTGATCTAACTCTCAAGAAGAAAGCAAAGAAGCCTGTTTCCAAAAACTATTCCTTTAAACTATATAACTATTCAACAATACTCATGCATTACATGACATTACCAAGTAACTCCCACTGATGAAACTAACCTAATCATGGATTAAAGCGTATGTGTGTAGAATGTTGGTGTGATTGTAACATATATGAATGTTACGTTTTGAAATCTAAAAGCAAACCTGGTGAAAGTCTTTGTGGTCTTTGTATTGCTTTCAGTTCATTAATCTTGGTGTTCCCGGAATCTGTCAATGTCTTTTTTCGATGCTACCACTGGAGGGAAATATAGAATGGGCTTGGCAGAGGCTACACTGCTTTCCACATATTATACCAGCATTTTGCCACCATTTTCTGATAGTGTGTATAGTATGACAATTTATTTACAACACATTTATTATAAAAGTGTATGCACCTTTTATTGTACAGAATATGCCATGAAACAGATGGATAGATTTTTCTCTTTTACGTTATCTGTAAAATCAGGGTATCTGTCACAGGACGAGTTGGTAGACCAGATGGATACAGGTGGTTTTTGTTTTTTTCACAAAATCAAAAAAGTCACAAACACGTCTGACTCTAATTCTTTGCACAGAAGAGAGGTCAACATAACAACTAAACTCAAAAGAGAGTGGGGGGAAACATATTGTGATCAGGCCATTCAGACCCATGAAGATAGACTACATTTGTAATACTACATAAACATTTAAACAAACTACAATAACCACAAAACATGTCAGTATAGCACAACCTAATGTTAGCTGATGACAAATACTGCAACAACAATATCAAATCAGTTGTCAAAGAAATAATAACATGAATCAAACTTGACACCCCTCCCCATGATGCAGTAGGAACATGTCACAGTCCAATTGGCAATCATACAATCAAAAACCATTTAAGCAGGTCTGATGCAGCTGGGACTCCTTTTGTTTCCTTTTGTTTGCTGGTCTGGGTTTTGTTGTGTCAGCAGCAGTAATGGCCCTTCCCCAGGGCTGTAGGACAGCTGCTAAGGATGTGTTTGAGTGAACCTGTCCCAGGACACAGAGGACACACTGGATAATCACTCATGCCCCAGGTTGGGAGATTTGCTGGACTAGGTTGGACATCATACATAGCTTGGACTGTGAACTTGATCCACTGGAGTTGGAGCCTGCCAGATGTCAGCCCTGAGGATCTTCCTCTCCAGTGCACCCTCCCACCTTGTCCATGCTCCCTGCTGCAGCATGCCCACCATTCTGCTGGTCCGTTCCTCCTTGAGACCTGCCTGCACCTCTTCCAGGACTAGATGGCGTGTGTCCTTACCATCTGCCTTATCATAGGGAGGTTGTAGGATTGCTCCCAACCTGCCCAGTTCCCACCGTGCCCACCAAAGCCCTGAGTCTCACCTGAGACTCTGCCATCTCCAGGCCCTCCTGGGCGCTCTGCTTCCTGCTTGTCCACACCATAATGCCTGCTGCCATCCCTCTAGAGTCCCTTGAGTCCCAATAGAGCAACACCTCTCTGGTGAAACCCTGAACTCCTTGCCGAAGTGGTTCACATGGAGCTGGGAGTTTGTTTCTCCTCACATACAGTGCTGCACTGCTTAGGCTGTGTGGCAGCCCATAGCCATCTGCGGAGATAGCTGCAATAGCTTCCTCTTCAGGGCCTCCACTGTCGACAGGGTTACCTCATGCACTGGCAGAAGCCAGAGGACTCAAGGTAAAATGTCATGTTGGTAAATCCAAGCCTCGAATCTGCCAGGTTGGCCAGACCAGTCAACAGTTTAGAGTGAAGTATTGCTAGTCTGATTTTACATTCCTAGAAGTGACTCTGACCCTGAAGTTCCAGTAGTAGTAATAGTAATAGTTCAGCTTAAGGTCTTTGATCTTACGGGGGAACGTGAGTTGGTCCAGGGTAGTCTTGACCAGATTGTTGAGTTTAGAGCCGTATGCATTGGCAAGGCCTTCCTACCTTCCTTTTGTGCGCCTCCTTGATCAGCTGGGTGACAACTCCAGGAATACCACCTTTCTGTACCGAGGTATACCTTAGGTATCCAGATGTCCTCCTCCTACCTCCACTAGACCGCTACCTATCCTGTACTAAACATATGTACTAAATCATACCACAGAATGGCAACAGTGTTTGTAATCACAATTTGTCTTTCTATGTTTTACAAAGCAAAATCACTCACTTTTGCAAGATGTAAGAATTGTTTTCTTGTTATGTGTTTGAATCAGACACAGTTGCAGAGAGAAGTGTGCTTTTGGAGAACGTTTATCCCAGACTGTATCTCTACTGTAAGCAGAGAGGCTACGACTTCAGAATGGTTGACCTCCGCTGGGGGGTTGGAACACCTGCTGCTGAACGGCACGACACTGTAGAGCTGCATGTGGAGAATCTCCAACTTTGTCAGGGAAGCCAGGGTCCAAACTTTATTGTAAGATATGATCATGTACTGTTATTTGACAGTACAAGAGTGCAGATTTTTGATAAATGGCATCTTTGTGTTTCAGATGATGAATTCATTTATGATTCTCTGTTCTGTTGGTTAGTTGTTTGTAGGACAGAAGTACGAGGTCCAGAGCCTTCCCTCTACCATCACCAGAGAGGCCTTTGAGGCCATAATAAAAGTGGTGGAGAGAGACCGACAGCAAATGCCCGGGAACAAACCAATGGAGGACTTACCTGCCTCAGGCTCCCAGTCCAGCATCACTACAGACAGCAGCTCAGACAGTTTCATTCAGGGTTCAATTTACGGGAGTTATCTAAATTTTGGAGAACAGGCTACATACTCAGGACTGCTGAGCCAGAGCTCCCACAATTCATTTTCAGAAGGAGATATGGCCAGACACAGCTTTGTAGGTGCAAAGAGTCTGGGGGATTTGGAAAAAGACCTAACATTACTTCAGATGTACTACAAGATGGATGAGAATTGCCTTCCTCCTGTCTACCGCTTAGCTCTCATCAGGTGAAAACAAACTCACTGGTCACAGTTTATGCTGTGTTCTGTTTCAATTAAAACAAATCAGACTAAAAGGATTGCAGTGTGACTTGGTGTGTCTATGATCCATACTGAAATATTTCAACAACTATTCAATCTTAAAATTTGTTCAGACATTCTTCGTGAACCCTGAGTGAAATATCTCAGCAACTGAAAAAGGGTGTAGGCCTTCATGGCTCTCAGAGGATGAATCCTAATGACTTTAGTGATCCTCTGACTTTGAATTTCGTGCTACCAGCAGCTTAGAGTCTTTGTTTTCAGATCGATCTAACTATTAGATGTACCTCCAAAATTAATGACATTCCCATCAGCCTCAGCTGTACTTTATGTTTAGTGCTTATGTAAGAATGCTGACATGCTAAACTAAGATGGCAACACTGATAAATACTAAACCTGGTAAAGATCAGCATGTTAGCAATATTTTTTGAGCATGCTAGCATGTTGATATTAGCATTTAGCTCAAAGCACCACTAAATACAGCCTCACAGAGCCGCTAGCATAGCTGTAAATTTTCAGTGTTGTGGATCTGATATTTCTTATTTCATGGAAAAATTAGAAGTCTTTGGTGGTTAAGATCACAGTGTACTATGTTCTCACTAGAAAACACGTAACAAAAAGTATAATGTTTTGATGGAATGCTAAACAAAATACTTAAAGGCTAAAGCCCCACTGATGCTGCCTGTGGAGGCTGCAATACTCACTGCACCATGGACATGGTAAGAAGGGGGCCTGCAGCACCCCTTACAACCAAGCATTAAAAACAATGATTTGATAAATAAAAAAATGTGATGTAGACTCACAACAGAGAGAGAGAGCTCATGTGAACGGGCGAGAGAGAGGGAGTGTTAGTATGGACAGAAGTGACAAAGTGATATAAAAACTTTCTTTGATCATAAAGTTGTAAGTTGTTGTTAACTAGAAAGAAGTTAGAAAAAAGTTATCCTAACAATTCAAATTATTACAAAAAACATGAATATTGTGCACTAGTTAGTATGACTTCATTATATAGACTGACCTTCTCTCAGCACCCCCCAACTGACTGACTTCCAACGTCCCTGCACTGCACACTACATTAAAAAGTCTTTGAACCAACAACTTACAGACAATTTAAATATTCTCTATGCATAGAAATGTAAACATTTCTTCTGGATGGTATTATAGAAGAGGTCACCAAATCACCAATGCCAAAAAATGTCTTCTTTTTGGGAACACAGCAAATGTCGTCACAGCCTATTACATTGCGTTTTAATTGGAAATTTTGGCAGGAAAAGGCCATGGGCTCACTATGAATAAACAATTCAAAACAATCTCTGTCTCTCTCTCTATAATCCTGTCACAGCAATCAGTAGGGTTCAACATGTGGAAAACATGAACCCAGGTTTAACAATCCCATTCATTATCTCTTCATATCATTCACAGCTGTCACCATCCTGACAGTTTGAGCATGGACAGTGAGCGCAGGAGACAGGCCAGGAAGGACTGGAGCACGGCCTGCCACAGACTGTGTGGAATTCTACAACGCAGCGCAGTTGAGGCACTTGGACAAGAGCAGGCATCACTGTTACTCAGAACAAGTAGGGCTGGAAAACACACTGGGTTTTTTTTTGTCCTCTTATCTGATAGTGCTTTTCTCCTGAATCCTTCTAGTGTTGGCGAAACCCAGTATAGACACATTGTAGTTAATTACCTTAAATAATCTCACACAGAGCAGGTTTCCAATCAGCATATATTGTCCTATGATTTAAATACAGTAAGAAGAACTACTTACTTTTACAAAGAACTACTAAGTTGATAAATATCTAACATGAAATTTTCTAATGTCAAGATCCTGATTATTGACACAAACAACAGCTATCGGCTAATATCTTTCATTTTTCTTATGCATAGTTCTTGACTGGGAGGTAGAGACAGGTCTGCAGTCTGTAGATGGGGCTCCACCAGAAGAGCACTGCCACTGCTATAAGAGAGTCATCCCAGACCTTTACTTCAACCTGAATAATGAACACATCACTCAGTACATTGACCTCCTGAAGGGACAAGCTCAGCTCGACCCAGTACTCAGCACAGCACACCAGAAATTTATGGACCGGCTCCATGAGAAGGTATTTTCACTGTTAGACAAGCAAACATATACTGCAGCATCTAAAGTGATTGTTGAGGTACCTTTTTAAACTATTCGGTCTGCTACAGCTGACTAGCCAATAAGCTATATAGCCTGCAAACCGTCGTTGGCAGTGCAGTTTTCCCCTGGAGGATTATTGTTAGGTGTAAGTGCAACACAAGATGTGCCTTTGTAGATTTTTCTTCTCTTGTCTTTCAGTGCTGCCTCTTGTGTAATTTTTGAAAATTTCTTTGTCTACATCATCTAGCTGCGCCACACCAATATCTATGAGCGTAATGTAGGATGGGGACGGAAAGGCCTGAACCCCAAACACAATCGTTCACACAAGTTCTACACCGAGCGCATCTCCTCCCACTTTCAACGGACTGTTATCAATTCCCTCAACAAGTACAGCATACACACATTTGTAAACTTTTTATTAACTAGTAAAAATCTTGGTTTTGAGTTAACTACAGCTACTTTTTGTACTTTCACTATTCCAGAGTAATGAAGGTCAACAAAACTCAAGGCCCTTATGACACAGTGAGGAGAGAAGCTGTCAGAGTGCAGATACAGGAGGAGATACAACTTCATGTTGACTACGGACTCCATCTGTGAGTGGGTCATTGCCTATCATGTCCATTATCAATCACTAGCGCTGGATTCACACCACACTCTGGTGTGCTAGATCACAGCGACTCATGATTTTCTGTTGGCAGCACCAAAATCTTTCCCAGCGCAACTTGAAATAGTAAAATAAATCTTTCTATTCACAGCCACTGTGTGTAGAATTGTTTAGTGATTGTAGCAGCGTCCAAATTATTGTAAGGGCATAAGTTTTAGTTTGTAGAAACATTTGATACTACCAATGTACAGGCGGGACCGGCTGGAGAAGCACTATTGTGTGTGTCGGCTGCACCTACGATCCACTTTTATATAACCTTCCTGTCATGGAGACATGCAGACTGTTTTGAGACTTGAGAAAGTCAAAGGTACAAATACTTACTTAAATAAACTTTATTGTCCAGTTAGTGATTAAGTTACCTAGCTTAATAACTGACAGCTAACTAGGTAAGAAAAGTACTGGCACGGACAATTGGAATTCAACTTCAAAGTATTTTGGTAAACGCATTGTTAACTGCTGATCGAGTGACTGTGACTGTTTCCTGGCTGACTAACATGTTAGGGGCTCATCCCTTTGTTCCCAGGGTCCTATGCCAAAAGCCTATAAGTACTTATGTAGGTGGACATTTCAAATGGTTTGAAAGGTAAAACTCTGTGAAGCTACTGAGTCCATTATCACTTTTCTGGTCTCTAGAGAAGATTTACAAATCTAAAACCTTCATGGATTCAAATTTCACAAATTGACTTTGTACTGTCAACAGACGTCCCTTTCATAATGGTCTATGGGGAAAATTATTTTTGGGCATTGGGATAAATCAGTTAGCACTGTCAAAACAGTGGTGAATAGTGTGAATTTAAACTGTCAGTTGAAATGACTTGATTTCCCTCTGAAATTTCCGTTTAAAAGCTGGTGTGACAGGGATTTTACTATCCATGGTGATTCAAAGAAAGAATAGACTCTTTAATTAAGAGTGAAGGTACAGAGCAACCACAGAGTAATCTACAACTATCTAACTGGGCTACTCAGACTATTTAACAGAGTAAATGCAGTTCTAATTCGTGTATTTCCACACATGCTTAAGATTTACCTCCATCCCTCAGTGCAAAGGGCTGTACTTTGAGGCAGGCTTTCCTAGCTGATGTGAAGAAGGCAGTGGAGCAGTCAAGAACCAGACTCATCCTCCTGCTGGGTCCACCAGGCTGGGGAAAGAGCACCTCCATGGCTGCAGTAGCACAGCTAGCACCCTCTTGGCTATCTGGGTGAGATGCTGGTAGAGGAGAGAACTACAGTGAGGAAAATAAGTATTTGAACACCCTGCTATTTTTCAAGTTCTCCCACTTAGAAGTCATGGAGGGGTCTGAAATTGTCATCGTAGGTGCATGTCCACTGTGAGAGACATAATCTAAAAAAATAAATCCAGAAACCACAATGTATGATTTTAGAACAATTTATTTGTATGATACAGCTGCAAATAAGTATTTGAACACCTGAGAAAATCAATGTTAATATTTGGTACAGTAGCCTTTGTTTGCAATTACAGAGGTCAAACGTTTCCTGTAGTTTTTCACCAGGTTTGCACACACTGCAGGAGGGATTTTGGCCCACTCCTCCACACAGATCACTTCTTACAGGTTTTTATCACTTCCTGCAGGTGTTTCTGGCTCTGGAGCTGTGGAGTCTGGATCTGTGGTTGCGGGTCACCTGCTGCCCCCGTGTTCCTGCTCGACACCCTCTGCTGAAACGACTATTGTTACTAGTCCTATTGTTATTATTGTTATTATAATCATTAACATTACGACTGTTACCATTAACACTACTTTAAATATCTGTACCATTTTTCATTTAGTCTATAGCAACATCACCTTTACTGTCTGTACCTCTGTGTGTATATTGTGTAGGCTGCCTCCCTCCCCTCTCTCTCCTTCCATCCCTCTCTGTTTCTCTCTCTCTCCTTCCATCCCTCTCTCTCTCTCTCTCTCTCTCTCTCCTTCCATCTCTCTCTCTCTCTCTCTCACCTTCACCAGATGGCCGCCCACCCTGAGCCATGGTTCTGCTCGAGGTTTCTGCCTCTTAAAGGAAGTTTTTCCTTGCCTCTGTCGCCTAATGCTGCTCTTGGTGGGAACTGTTGGACTTCTGTAAATAGCATCACAGAGTACGGTCTAGACCTGCTCTTTTATGAAAAGCGCTGTGAGATAACTGTTGTTGTGATTTGGCGCTATATAAATAAAATTGAATTGAATTGAATAAATAGATCTTCTCTAGATCAGTCAGGTTTCTGGGCTGTCGCTAAGAATCACGGCGTTTGAGCTCCCTCCAAAGATTCTCTATTGGGTTTAGGTCTGGAGACTGGCTAGGCCACGCCAGAACCTTGATATGCTTCTTACAGAGCCACTCCTTGGTTATCCTGGCTGTGTGCTTCGGGTCATTGTCATGTTGGAAGACCCAGCCTCGACCCATCTTCAATGCTCTAACTGAGGGAAGGAGGTTGTTCCCCAAAATCTCACAATACATGGCCCCGGTCATCCTCTCCTTAATACAGTGCAGTCGCCCTGTCCCATGTGCAGAAAAACACCCCCAAAGCATGATGCTACCACCCCCATGCTTCACAGTAGGGATGGTGTTCTTGGGATGGTACTCATCATTCTTCTTCCTCCAAACACGGTTAGTGGAATTATGACCAAAAAGTTCTATTTTGGTCTCATCTGACCACATGACTTTCTCCCATGACTCCTCTGGATCATCCAAATGGTCATTGGCAAACTTAAGACGGGCTTTGACATGTGCTGGTTTAAGCAGGGGAACCTTCCGTGCCATGCGTGATTTCAAACCATGACGTCTTAGTGTATTACCAACAGTAACCTTGGAAACGGTGGTCCCAGCTCTTTTCAGGTCATTGACCGGCTCCTCCCGTGTAGTTCTGGGCTGATTTCTCACCTTTCTTAGGATCATTGAGACCCCACGAGGTGAGATCTTGCATGGAGCCCCGGTCCGAGGGAGATTGACAGTCATGTTTAGCTTCTTCCATTTTCTAATGATTGCTCCAACAGTGGACCTTTTTTCACCAAGCTGCTTGGCAATTTCCCCGTAGCCCTTTCCAGCCTTGTGGAGGTGTACAATTTTGTCTCTAGTGTCTTTGGACAGCTCTTTGGTCTTGGCCATGTTAGTAGTTGGATTCTTACTGATTGTATGGGGTGGACAGGTGTCTTTATGCAGCTAACGACCTCAAACAGGTGCATCTAATTTAGGATAATAAATGGAGTGGAGGTGGACATTTTGAAGGCAGACTAACAGGTCTTTGAGAGTCAGAATTCTAGCTGATAGACAGGTGTTCAAATATTTATTTGCAGCTATATCATACAAATAAATAGTTAAAAAATCATACATTGTGATTTCTGGATTTAGATTATGTCTCTCACAGTGGACATGCACCTACGATGACAATTTCAGACCCCTCCATGATTTCTAAGTGGGAGAACTTGCAAAATAGCAGGGTGTTCAAATACTTCTTTTCCTCACTGTACATGTTAGCTATGGAGTATTTTGGTTTGTGGTGTTCAGCATACAGATTTGCAGACACGGATTGATAGAAATCCAATTTATAGTTATAGATAACTTACATTCAAGTGCAAACAAAATAAAATAAATTGTCCATCAGAGTGTCATTCATAGAACCATTCTACGTTTTATGTCCTGTTGGTTCAGAGCTGTGAAGATATTGGTGCACTTTATTGGCTTTACTGGGGAGAGCAGGAATGTTCGTCTGGTCCTGCAGAGACTTTGTGTCCAGCTGGCTGAAATCTACCGTCCCCACACACAGCTGTCAGAGGTACTGCACTATCTCTAGTAAACACTGCTTCATCTCATTTTGACAGGTTGTACTTGCACTTTGATTAAATTTATGCCAACCTCAACCAGAAACTTTTGACTGTGTCCTGTGTGCATGTGTTCCTAAAATTAACAATGTTTTTGCTCTGACTGATCTGAGGGATCAGACTGTCCAGTATACATGGTGGTTCTAGGTCTAAAGGGTTATTTGTCTCCTCTAGGGTCTCCCTCAGCTCATCAATGAGTTCCACTCTCTGTTGGGCCTGGTGGGAACAGAGAGGCACCTGGTGGTCCTGCTGGATGGGTTAGATGAGCTATCTGAGGAACACTGTGCAGACCTCTCCTGGATATTAACCCCTCTACCCCTAAACGTCCACCTCATTGTATCTGCAACCACTGACTCGCCCTGCACTCACACTCTGCAGGTCAGTAAAGATAAAATTTCACTGTGGCAGCAGAAAGCAGGGTACAGCAAAGACTCGAAGTTATGTAACATATAGGACTTTTCAGCTATCAGAGGAAATCAATGTTCACATTAAATTACAGAATTTAATCTTACATTAAATTCACCTTGGAGCACCACCTCTCAAAAAGACAAAATTAGCATTAGATAGTGGCCAATTAATTAACTGAGTCTCGACCTGAGGGTTGCTACAGAGTCCTTAACTTGTGTACAGTGTCCTTATTTTCATACACACAAACCACATAATCAAGTTCTTTATCAAACTACTAACTGGACACAACAAACTACCAACTACACACCTACAATTTCAATTTCAAAACACTTTATTTATCCCCATGGGGCGATTGTGAGACCCGTAGATTAGTACAAGTTAAGTAAAATACTTTTTCCTAATAAACATAGCCTAATATATTAATAAATAGATAAATAGACAAACATATTACAGACAATAGACAGCATTACTGAAATGAAATAAAATACATTATCAAACATAGTAATTTAAAAATTTATGAATCACCAAACGAGTGTGCGTGTGCTTGTGAGTGTGCATGAGAGCGAAGGAAGTGATGAAGGAGTTCAGGGATGGTTGGGCGTTACAAATGAACGAATAAAAGCAACCATGAATAAATGTTATGAATACAGCGATGAACAATTAATAAATGCATGAATGAAACTGTTTATAGGCAGACAGTTTGTGACTGAATGATGACCAGTGTATACCAGAAAAATCAGTGTATAATGGCAAGATATATTCATTTGTGGAAGACAGGAAACAGTGGATAAACTTTAACGTTGACGTGTGATATCACCTTGCAATGCCCCTCAAGGCTCCGCTCAGCAGAGTAAAACCCTTTATGACATATCATGTGAAGGGAGATCCTACTTCTGACCTAACGCTGAATTACTTTTAGTATTCTGTTCCAGTCTATATCCAGTTCCAGAGATGTCCCTTTAAGAGGGTGGTGTCGGGTGGTGTCAGAGAAAGCAAGTTGAGGTTGTCAGGATCAGGCCTCAACTTTTATCGTTCATGCTCCGTGAGTTTTTGCAGGCCTGTCGTAAAGTGAGAATCAGTGATGGCAGTAGAACAGAGGGAAGTAATAGAATGTCAAAGGTCTACAGCCACACTCTAAGGCAGTGCAAAAGTTTAATAATATACAGTTTATAATAATATAATGGCAGCTTGGCACTAAGACTGGGGAAACCTGGCTCTGTCTCTAGTCCAAAAATACTCCAACCAATACCTCAAAAAATAAATCTCATTAGTTAACTTGTTCTATCTCCTTTGTTAAATCTGTACACAAGTACAGGTGAAATAATTCCTCATTTACAAAGCTTTACACCTGCCTTTATGCATTCAGGCAGGGAGCCTTCTGGAATTGCAATAAATGTAGCACAACCAGACTGCTTCTACTATCATAAAGAGTTGTACCTTTGCAGCTAGTGCACCACCTTCAAACTCAATAGCAACCATGGATGGAGGACACTATAGCAACTGCCTAGCAACCACCTGGTAACACCTTATCACTCACCCATAACATCACAGCAATGTGGTACGGTCTTAAACTGGAATTATGCTTCTGTGGGCTGCATGTAGGCGAACATGCATGGGGGGACACTCTGTTACTTCTTTTATACTGGTTCTGTCCCGTCTGCTGACAGGAATTGAATCTACCAATCAACCGTCTTGACGTGCAGTTCACACAACACGTAGTTGAGAACCCCCCTTTACGTATGTTTGCAGAGAGTTTTATAAAGAAGCATAATTCCTGTGGGGCTAGAACAGTGACATTAAGTTTTGCCATTGAAAATAAAACCCAAACTGAAAAATTTCTGCCCTTGAGTGGATGTTAAAACCTGGATGACCTGTAATTTTCTCATGTTAAACTCAGATAAAACTGAAGTTATTGCTCTGGGGCCTAAGCACCTCCGTGACGCATTATCTAAAGATATAGTTTCTCTTGATGGCATCGCCTTGGCCTCCAGCACCACTGTGAGGAATCTTGGAGTTATCTTTGATCAGGACATGTCATTTAAGTCTCACATAAAGCAAATTTCAAGGACCGCCTTTTTTCACCTACGTAATATTGCGAAAATCAGGAACATCCTGTCTAAAAATGATGCAGAAAAACTAGTCCATGCATTTGTTACTTCTAGGCTGGATTACTGCAATTCCTTATTATCAGGCTGCTCGAAAAAGTCCATTAAGACTCTTCAGCTGATCCAGAATGCTGCAGCACGTGTTCTGACAGGAACCAGGAAAAGAGATCACATTTCTCCTGTTTTAGCTTCTTTGCATTGGCTTCCAGTAAAATCCAGAATAGAATTTTAAATTATTCTTCTTACCTACAAAGTTCTTAATGGTCAGACACCATCTTATCTTAAAGAGCTCATAGTACCTTACTACCCCACCAGAGCACTGCGCTCCCAGAATGCAGGGTTACTTGTGGTTCCTAGAGTCTCCAAAAGTAGACTAAGAGCCAGAGCGTTCAGCTATCAAGCTCCTCTCCTGTGGAACCAGGTTCCAGTTTGGGTTCAGGAGGCAGACACCATCTCCACATTTAAGACTTTCCTCTTTGATAAAGCTTATAGTTAGGGCTGGCTCAGGTGAGTCCTGAACCATCCCTTAGTTATGCTGCAGTAGGCCTAGACTGCTGGGAGATTTCCCATAATGCACTGAGCTCCTCTCTCCTCTACTTTCTCTCCCTCTGTATGCAACCTCATCCCATTATTGCATGTTACTAACACAACTTCTCCCCTTTCTGGTAGTCTTGTGCTTTCTCGTCTCTCTCCTCTCTCCTCCTATCACTTCCTGCAGGTTTTCTGGCTCTGGAGTCTGGATCTGTGGCTGCGGGTCACCTGCTGCCCCCGTGTTCCTGCTCGACAACCTCTGCTGGCAATGGCTTATATCATAGTAATCGATGTCCTACAAGGCTACCATACTACAGCTAGATGTAAACAGGAAGAAAGTGGAGCTGACTGGTTTAATTTTTTTGTCTGTTTTTTGTGGATACTGCGCAGCTGTATTCTTGATTCCATTTACCTGGTAGCCAAAGTGGCTGAGGCAGCTGAACCAACCAATTAGTCAAGTATGTGATTTATAGTTGACACAGATTTTTCTCTCTCTCGCCTTCCCCCAACAGTCAGCCCATCCCATGGTCCTGTCTCTCCCTCCAATTAGTCCAGATGACATCAAAGCAGCATTAGAGACCAAGCTGCGGACTGACCAAAGGTGTCTGCAGGAGCACCAGTGGCAGCTGCTGGTCCAGGCCTGTCTGTCTTGTCCATGCCCTCTGTACCTGGAAGCAGCTTACTCTGAGAGCACGCTCTGGACCTCCTACTCCCCCCAGGCTAGCCTCAGCCTTCCAGCCAGCCCACAGGGCCTCTACCTCACTGTGCTGGCTCGCCTGGAGAGAGAGCTGGGGAGGCAACTGGTGAGACGGACTGCATGTCTGATATCCATCTCACGTTGGGGAGTCACTGAAGAGGTGGGGAAAGATACATTTAACTACAAACTGCACATACACATAATCACTTTTCACAGCGTGCCACACATTTCTAGACTGATTTTCTACCAGTAGCCACTGGTTCAGCATCCCTTCAGTGCACAATGAAAATTTGCATTTCGGATCCAATTCATGTTTATGTCCATCATCAGGAGTTACTGGACCTACTGGCCCAAGATGTGGGAGTGCTCCAGGAAGTGACCTCATATCACTCCTTTTCCAGCCACCCCAGGGTACCTTATGTCTTGTGGGCTCGACTGAAACGTGCCCTCGGCCGTCACCTAACTGAGGTCAGGACAGACGCAACGTGGGTGTACCGCTGGACGCATTCCGAGCTGAGTCGTGTGTGCATAAAGCACTACTTAACAGATGATTCTCGTATGGCTCTGCACGCAGACTATGCTCACTACTACAGAGACAAGTCGCAACACACAGACATATTTCAGCCACTGGCATGGACTCTGGATGAGGTGGAGGATGGTGGAGGTGTGACTAAAAGTTACAGATTTAATCTGAGGAAGCTTCACGGGTTGCCCTACCACCTGGTTCACTCAGGCCAAATCCTGCCCTTCCTGTCTGAATGTATTTTCAACTACGAGTTCCTGCTACATAAGGCCTGGGGTCTGTCTGTCCTTGACATCGAGGAGGACCTGAAGAAGGCTGTGCTGCCAGACAAGTAGGTCCAATCAGAGGACAGACAGAAAGATATCCTGTGGTCGGAAACTGCGCACAAGATTGATGATATAGGGCAACTGGATACTTTTAATTAACACAGTTGTCCAAAGCAAGAAGGTCCTCACTTTGAATCTTGTCTTTGGTTCTGTTTCATGTCCCTGATTACAGCACTTTACCTTCCAATTTCAACTGTCCAAATGCATGCAGATCCAGTGCGTCATAGGGTGCATCAGAATGGTCAAAAATTACAGTCTTTGCCTAACCACTTTTCTTTCAACTTGATGGAAAATGTCCATTTTTAAAGAATTGACAAGGTATTAAGAGAATTACTATACTATAATTACAAATACTTTGCACTTAAGGTACCGTGTGGACTTTATGACCACTAGTGGTACATGGGCAACTTAATATACATTCCTGTGGACTGTGCACTATTCCATGGATTGACAGTTGTTGGTGGTAACAAATGTGGGGCAAATTTCATGATAATTCATCCAATAGTTGAAACATTTCAACCTGCTGTTAGCGGTAGAGGAATGATCTGAAAATCATCCTTGGTCAATAGAATTTATCCTCTGGTGGCCACGTCTGTTCTATATTATATACTGACTAACAGAATGAAGTAGGGAACAGAGACTGAACCAACTGGGAAACAGGACAACACAAAACACAGATATAAACTAGGTTACTGGACACAGGACGGCAGACAGGACTGAACCCCAAAGCACAACAGACTAAATAACAGATACTGAACTGATCAAATATATCGAAAACTCACAGAGGGCTAAACATAAACATGGCCGAAAGGCAGAATGTGACACAGTGAAAAAGTCATTTATCAACCACATCATTAGGATTCATCCTGTAGGCACCATGAATGCTTGTAGCAAATTGAGACAATCCGTCCTGTAGTTGTTGAGATACTTCAGTCTGGACGAAATTGGTGGACACAGTGCATTGCCATCCCCCAGCCTACCATGCTGACTAACTTGACTAACTTTAAAAACATTATTATTGAAAAATAATGTTGTCCATTCTTCTTCTAGTTTTGGCAAACTATGTATGAAACCTTAGTGCAGAAAACGTGTTTGGAGAATTCTGTGCAGAGAAAACACAATATTCCTTTGTTCAAATTGTCTGTAAGCATAAAGATATTTTTTGTTGTCGGACCAGAAAAGGCTAAATGAATTTACTTGTTCTGAATGGCCACACTCGAGGGTGAGGCAAGAGACCTGCCTTCATAGCCTCCTTTTGGCTGCATCCCACTTCCTCCTCAAGCTTTGTCTCTTTTTGGTCTCGATGCATTGAATCATGGGGAGAAGGGTGTGAATTTTCTGACAGTCGTGCCGCAAAGGCATTCATGTGGTGTGAAGAATGAAAAAAGCTTGGGAGAGAAGTTAAAATCTTGCCTTTCACACCTTCACGCACCTGGTGAATTATTGCGTGCAGTGGTGCAGTTGTTTAATGGTCAGTTTCACAAAGTCAAATAAATGGTCAGATGCTTTCCCCTGATTTTGTCATCAGAAAGACTTCATATGCTGTTAGATGATCTGAGTGGCACTTTGTTTGAATCATAATGAGGCCACAGGGTCTACAGTAGTATCTTTGTGGTGTGGTGTGGATCTAACTACAACCCACACTTCAGGAATCAGTGATCTTTTGATCTCTTGTTTTCCTGACACCTTTTTTCAGCTATCACTGGGGACGCCGTGTTCTTCTGACATGAGCTAAAATCCTTCTTGTCATATTTGTTGCATTGTACCCCAGTCTCTTCTCTCTCCACTACATGCTGTCATCCCTCTTATCTTTATCTCTGTAAATACAGTATGTATCCCCACCGCCTTCTTCTGTCTCAAGGGTGTTGGTGGATGTGGAAGTGCTTGCGGGTGCTCTGGAAATGTCCAGAGCGGTGCTGCTGCAGGACCCCTGTCAGCTGGCCTCCCAGCTTATGGGTCGACTGGGACAAATGGTTATTGAGGACCGTCCTGTTGCTAAAGGTATGCTGTGACACAATCTGCCTTTAAATTGTGTCTGTCAGTATTTATTCACAGTATACGTCGTATACGATACATTATATGCTGTATATGATCTATACCTGTGTCTGAGATGAAATCTGTAGAGTTGTGGATTCTAGACCAGATGTCAGGGTTCGGTTTGAGTTTTGTCTACTTCCTGTTTTATTTTGGTAATCATCTGTGTCTGGTTTTGCTTTGTTTCCTGTCAGTCCTGATTACCCTAATGTGTTTCACATGCATGTTCAGGTAGCCTGCTTGTGCAAGTGTTTCTGCGAATGGGTCCACAAACCTGTTTTCTGCCTCAGCAGCCACCCTGACACCAGTATACTTTTTGATTTTGTATTAATTAAATAATGAATAATCTTATCAAGTGCAATACACAAAGAAATAAGAAAATGCATAGATCAGAGTGAAATACGATGTTTGTCATTTTAGCCAAGCATAGATACTTAGGGCACTCAGGAGCGGGTACAGTTTATGGTGTTTATTTGCAATCAGTGAATAACTTAGAAATGGTGAGGAAGACGGTCAAAAAGGCAAAATACATCTATAACCCAGGAAGGGAGGCAAGCATATCCAAAGGATCAAAATCCAAAATAAATCCAAACCAGGCACAGGAGACATGCAGGGACGCTTGACAAAGAACAAAGACGAAGTGACACCAGACATACATACTACTATGTTTTTGGTTTTTTTGAAACGCAGACCTTTTGCTTCATTTGCACCTCCTGTCCAGACTAAAACAGCAAATCTGAAGACTGATCCATGAGGATTTGCTGATAAAGCAAAGCATTTATGCCAGTTACAGCTTTGGTAATCATTTCAGACTGTAAAGCTTCCGCTGTTTTAGACTCTTCTCATGGGCTCTCTATTCCCTCATTGGACAGCAGTGTCAAGACGATTTGTTAAAAAATATTAAGGGGTGGCAAAGGAACAGTGGATAAGACACATGCCTTTGGTGTGAGAGACCTGGGTTCAATTCTGTTACAACCCAGCTCGTTAGGGTAGGGCAGTAACAAGGTATTTGGGTTAAATTAAGGTGGTAAGGACAACTGAATTCAGGTTGAGTCAAAGTTTAATTAAATGAGTTGTCTCCAAAAAAACACCAAAAGGAGGCTATGTAGGTACTGACAAAAAAAAAAAAAAAAACACTTAACAAAAGGTCAGTACCTACATGCTGTACAGGAATGTAGTGTAACCAAACAAACAATTTTCCCCCTTAAAGGGTGCCACTCACATTCTGTAGTTCACAAAGGTTTTTACTGACAAGAGTCACTTAAGCCGGCAACCGACAGAAACAGAAATTTAACACTCAAGACATTCACAGGGGTACACAACCAACAACAAGGCGAACTGATCACTGGCTCACAGTCGCCTCAAACTGCAGGAAGACAAACTATTTGTAGGCCAGCTGGTGTTGATTGGTGAGTTCTGGTTGGCAGGTTCGGTAGGATCCTCGGCCACACCAATCAGACGCCAGCAAACAGCAACCAGGAAGTGGGTGGTTCCAGGTCCAGGGGAACCAATCCTCAGCAGGTGCTTGCAGCGAGGATTTGCATACAGCTCAGAGAACTCCAAAACACAACTACTCTAAGGCAGCCAGCGGCGGCCGTAACAATTCCCACTGCGATATCCAAACTGCCAATGTGTCCCTGAGCAAGACACTTTACCCCTAGTTTCGCTGACATTTATTACAATTGTAAGTCGCTTTGGATAAAAGTTTCATTTCATTTCATTTAATAAATGTAAATGAGAGTCATGCTACGTCAGGTCTGTCAGCAAGATGACAATCAAACAATTTCTAAAATACTTGTTTTCCGAATGGAGTTTGGAGCAACCAGGTCATCCTGGTTCTGGAAGGTCTGGCTAGGGTTAGGGTTGCTAACTTTTTTCATAGTACAACAGTAGCTGGAATCAACTAACAGACTTTCTGACCTTACCAGGTAGTTCAACTTACATTTTTCAAAGCAATCTCCAGTTTTGTCCAGTATTTTTAAATATTAAGCAGTCCCACAGAGCTCTGGCACCTACAATAACAACACCTACAATAACAACAGCCAATCTAACAACAGTGGGGCCGGTGTTCTTTCGATTTATGCTACCTATCGAGATGTGCTACTTGGCGGTTCTGCGCTTGCGTATGACCCACAAGCACGGTCTGTTTCCACGCCCATAAATCTGTGCAACCTTGCTGTTGGGCATGCCGTCGACACAGTGGCTGATCGTCAGCAATATAAAAAAAAAAAAAACAATCATTATTAGTCTATCAGAATATGCTACCCCTGATATCTTAAATAAAGATGGTATAATATAGTATTTCAACATGCTCCCATCTCCGTACAGTACACATGGAGTGAGTAGTGAGCAGTATTTGGTAGGGGATATTAGTCAGAATATGCTACCCCTTAAATGATGTTATAATATAATCAAAAAACAGAAGATGTCATAATACTGTGAGAGTTATAAGTATATGGGATTGGAAAAGGGAACACATAAAGTAGTATTTTTCGACAGGGCAGAGCGACTCGATAGATTATGCAATCGATTTGTGCTACGGTTGCATTTTTCGACAAGGCAGCATATATCGTCAGAACACCGGAAAACACAGTAGCTCGCTGCTGAGAACCGCAAGTGAAGATAAATCAACATGTTAATCCCCAAAATTAAAAGTATAAAGTACTTTTTTTTTAGTAAAAAAAAATGCTCAGTTGTCAGAGCAGAATCCAGTCTGACTGCTGGCGTTTACTTGTCTAAAAGCTCCGGTGCTGCTCCCCGTAGCTCAGCAGCTGTTTGTCAGCGAGCAGAGACTCTGTCCCTCCGCTCTGCCTGATGTCCCTGTCCTCTACACACCAGACTCTAAAAAGCCGTTGATGACATCCAGACAGTCTGACCGCTGATAGGCAGTCGCAGCACACTCGAGTAAAAAAAAATTAAACTCAATCCAGCTCGCCGCCCGGCAGGAAATCACCTCCCTCCGCATCTTTGTATTGACTTTGCATGTAATCACACTGTACCCGCTTGCCTCACGTTGTGTGTGAAACCGGCATAAGCCCTGTGTCTGACCCAGGTGACCCGCTGAAGTTCAGCTACCTCCATTCTCTACTGGCTCAGTGTGCCCAGTCCTCCCTGCCTGTGTTGCTTCCCAGCTCCACCTGCTTGCTGACCCCCGAAGGCCTCCACCACACCCTGCTGGCAGGTAACACATCACATATACTGTAGACTGCTTTGCTTCACAGAGTTGTCCTTCTGATTGTCCATACTGTAATTTTGCTATGTTGCACTAGTATGTATACACAATATCTAATGCCTTTCTGTCTGTCCATCATCCCTTGAGATAAAATGTTTGACTTCATGTACGTAATATATAAATAAAATTGACTTGACTTAATGAATACACCCAGTACTTAGTAATACTGTAACTTAAGGTGTACATACTGCATATGTTGATACTTTTATAATGTGCATGTAAGTGTAAATATTGTAAATGCTGCATAATGTAATAATCTAATTGATGGTGTTTCTACTAACCAGGTCACTTGACCAATGTGACTGCCCTGGGAGGGGGGCAGAAAGGGCCCTTGGGTGTGACCAGTGAATCTGATGGAAGCCTGAGGTTTTGGGATCTGGAGCAGAGGCGGATCATCAGGAGCCTGGACGCAGTGGATGGAGTTGTGGGAGATTCAATCACCCTGGGTCTGGATGATAGGATGCTCATAGTCTGCATGGGACAAAGTCTGCAGGTTGGACTTGGGCTGCTTGGTTTAAATGAAGTGGAACTATATTTTCAGCCTTATCAGCAATAATCTTGTAACTACAAGGTTATTACAAAGGATGGCATTGTAAAAACAGCTTGCTAGCTTGTAGGATACAAACATAATTAGGATATGCTGCACTCAGAGAAAATGTGGAAAGACTGTTAATTTGATATATAACTTGTGGCTGTGTTTCAGGTGAGAGAGGTTCAATTCGGGCGAGTTGTGTATTCAGAGAGTGACTCGGTGGACCTTCCCATAGTAACAACGACTTGTGACGGACAGCTGCTGGTGGTCTTCTATGATGGAAGTCATCTAGTCAAGGTACTGACTAGCGCTGTACAAAACCTGCTCAGCAACGAGCAGCAGACTGACAACGTTAGAAACTAGCAGGTGAACGTAATAGAGCATTTAGCATTAAGAGACAGATTTAAGGAGAGTGACTGTGGGACTTTTGAATGCTAATGTGTCTGCTGGATGTGTAAATAGGAAGATATTTGCTTAACCCTTAGCTATAATAACTATAGATATACAGTATATACTTACTGTATATGTCAATGTTGTATTTTAATCTTGTTCTGCTGGCCATGTGGGGGAAAAATCATTTACTGAAGCTTTCTCAAAAGAATGAGTGTCCAGAATGTTTGCTAGAAACTTTGGAAAGAGAGCCTTGTATGTTTATTTAAGTTTTTAAAGGGCTTATACAGGTCAGGTCTGGGGTAATGTGTGTTCCTCGTGTGCTTGTTAGGTGTTTGACCTGGCTGCCTCCTGCTCTCTGCTGCACTGTGTTAACATTTCCATGGAGCGTGAGGCAATCCACAAAGATCGCTCCATTCTGCTGTCCAACAACTCCATCAGGGACTACGTCCTCTTTGCCTACAGGTCAGACAGCGTCAGTTTAGACTCAGGTCAGGACCAGGCTATGGCCATGTCATGTGGGATATGTTGAATTTACTGACGATGCTTTGTAATGATATTCAGCACTTAGAAATTTTACTCTTATGACTTATAACCTAGTAAATAGCAAATTAAATTCACACAGCAGGCTAGATCCCAGTAGGTGATCTCAGCAGCATCGCATTCACAATGAGTGTCACTACGGGTGACTTTGTTCTTAAATAATATCACATATCCCTTTGTTAACAAGCTGTGAACACAGGCCTCCATAGTATCCAGACAAATTTCACCACCGGGTTTGAAAACAGTTGTGAATTATTAAGACGGGCCGCTACTCAAGTGTCTCACCTGTGTAGTGTAGCACGGAGGTGATGCCTTCATGCCTTAGCTCCTGTCACATAAGCTGATGCCCATTAGGGATACACACAAGGGATAATAAAACGTTTCCAGAGAGTTTTTCTTCATTCTGTTATCATTTAATTAAAACTGAATAGAATGCAGAGGCGTGTGTGCTTTCAGAGTAATTAACACAGGAGCCGTACCTTCACACCTGACAGGAGGAGGTATCGGATAAACATCAAACTAGGTCACTGGTGGTTGCTGATAATACAAGGCGACATGGATGGTAATAATATGGAAAGCCTTAGAGCATCAGCTCATTTACACTTCCCTCCCTTAAGTGTGTCAGTGTTAAAGGAACGCTCTCATAATAGTGATAAAGCCTTAATCTTCAAAAGTACAGGCAGAGTAAGTGCTTTGTAGCAAATGATCCAATTAAATTTTTTTACAGAAATCTCCTCTGTAGGTAATTTACAGAAAATATTTTTCAATCAAGATCTTGCTAACTTTGTGCTCGCTACTATATTGAGATTCAGGTTCTGGTTAAGCACTGTGTATCAGGACAAGCAACGCAAACATCTTAAAGGTTTCCAATGAAACGTACACTTTACATAAATAGTATTAAACGCTTGTCTCTGAGTAGCCCCTACAGTAGCTATTGTAGCTAACTGCATCTGCTTGCCTTGTTGCATACAGTATAATAATTCTAGCCATATTTTGTTCTGCAGTTACACTATAAAAATAACAAAATAAGTTATGCCTGACAGCGTTTGTGATCCACTGGGTCACCCAACTACCAGACTTCAGAATCACAGGGTTGGAGCCTATTATCAGTCAGGAACTGGGTGATAGTTCTGGAGACTGTGTAACTTTTGAAAGAAGAAATGAGAAGCTGAATTTATATGCAATAGGTCTCTATTCATGCTACTGTTATGCTACATTATAGCATTTAAGTTTATAAAAACAACAGTAAGATGGGAATAAATATGTACTTCAGACAACATGCAGATTAAAATAGCTGATTTTTGAGATTGGATGTACATTGTAATCCCATGTTACAACATAAAATATAAAAATAAATGGGGAGCTGCTAACAGCTGATAAAAACAATGTATATGGTGCTACAACAGCTCCAGTAACTGTAATAAATTGTTCTACCTGCCAGAATAGTGCACTGTCATGTGCTAGTTGAGTATATAATATAGAATAAGGACAAAACTTTTGACATGAATCCATATATATTGAAGTTAAAATTAAATAATTAAAGAAAGGACACAGCAACCTTCTCTAAAACAGCGCGTCTTGCGCACTTGGGTGAGCACTATAATCTGTTTGAACTGGGGGTGTATGTCAACATTTTAAAATCAGATGCGACACCTTTGACACTACGAGTCTGATTTTGGCCATTGGTTTGTTGATACATTTTTCAGTTATTTGATAGTTGTTCCTGTCTGTGTTTGAGGTCTGCTGGTGAGGCAGCTGTATTCAGTGCCAGAGGGGGCGCTGTGCTGTCTGTCCTATCAGCTCAAAATGGTGCTGCCTCTATACAAGCCGTGGAGATGACTGAAGACTACCTGCTGCTCTTCTGCAGGTACCCTAACACTGTACTGCAGGGTAAATGCCAATACAGTTCCCGTAATTGCAATAACATCCAGCATATTTGTTTTAAAAAATCATTAAATAAATAGATTTTTCTGAAATAAAGGAGTGGATGCAAGGATCTAAATCGCTTGCAATTCTAATGCAATACTGTTGGAGTAAAATGCTGGGAAGGAATGAGGAGGATGTACTTATCAATATTTGTTCCCATATATAAAGTAAGGACAAGAGTAGTAAAGGCTTTTAAGTCAAAAGTGACCCGTGGTGCCTCCCTTAAGTTGTGGTGATGTAGTTTATTTTGATAATCACTGACACCTCACTGTGGTGAAACTTTCTCCTTTTCCACCCTCTTTGTACTTTGTCTGTGTCAGATACCCTTACAGGAGCGGCTGTGAAATCATCCACATCGAACTCTTCAGCTCTGTCTCCTTCCTCTACCTGCGGTCGATACTGGGCTGCAGCCAAGACTGCATTTCCCAGGTCACTGTCAACCGGGCAGGGACTCACGTCGTGGCTTTTTGCCCCTCCCCTCGTACCGGCATCACTGAGCTGGTCACGTGGAATCTGGAGACAGAGGACCACAAACACATCACGCGCTTCCCTGCATTGCTGACCAAAGGTTTGTCTTTAAAGGGGTGCTTAAGCATGGCATGTGTATCAACTGAGGGGTTTTAGGGTTTTCCAGGGATACTTAGTAGAATGATTATGTAACCATTTCCATGCCCCAAACAGCAATTGTAGCAACAGAGATGGCAAAGCAAGTCTGTCAAGGTTTGGATTTCTTAACATGACAAAATGGAACTCATGGTGGCCCTAGCACTTTGCGTTGGTTGTCTAAGTAATTTATGCATTTCTACAAACATATGAATGGAGTTGGATATTTTCTTACACTACTGAATAAACACTAGTGTAAACTAGCTGTACTGGAACAGTGTTGCTACTTCAATTCCATTCATCTCCATGATACAAGGCACAAGGTAGATTTATTTACACTGGGTTGAATAATGAGATGAAGTTGTAGCTCCTGTTATGCCATGTGCACACACAAACGTGTAATAATATGATACACAGCAGATAAGTAGATAAATAAGAAGAAATAAAATAATTTTACGTGGTGGATCGCTGAGGATGAATTAAGTCTCTCGCATCCCGGGGGGAAAAGTCTGGCGGTACGACAGCAGATACTTCTGTATCTGTTGGCAGACAGCAGCAGGGTGAACAGGCTGTGGCCGGGGTGGGTAATGTCCTCTCGTCAACTATTTAAGACCATTTTGCAGGTTTCTCATTAATACGAGTCAGAAACATAAAAAAGTCAGCCAGAGACAAGGTTTATGTTTATTACCTGGCTAGCTCCGGCTGATAGAATCTGTCAGCCACATTTCAGCCAACAAAATTGATGTATGACTAAAAATGAGAAGCTGCTTTTGTCTGTCTGTCTGAAATGAAAGACTCATTGTTTCCAAAATACCAATGGATGTCGAGCTGTAAATCTGCCACCGTTATCACTTTAAACTGTGTATGTGCGGTTCAAGCTCACAGAACTGGTAGAACCTATACCCTAATTTTCTGCACTGAGAGTGTGGGTACAATGTAGCTGCTGTTGTACCACGCTACACCCAAAAGCTATGACATTTTCCTTTCCCTTCAGGCGTGTGTTTTGACCTGCGCTACTGCCTGGGGATCTGCAGCGGAGAGAAGTACCTTCGCCTGTGGGATCTGACCTCCAGGATCAGTGACCAGACTCTTACCTACAACATCTATAAGCTCAGGAGTGACGGCACAGAGGAAGTCATCCCTGTGGGGAAACCCCCGAGGTATTTGCTGAGATGCAGCATTGACAGTAGCTGTTTTCATCTCATGATGCTTCTGGTCCAGTATGATGATGGCTTTCATCCATCTGCAAGGATGGATGAGCAGTAACCTATACTGATTCTGCTGATATATTTATTATACATGAATAAACATATTGGCTCTTTTCAGACATTTGAAAATATTATTCACCTGATTTATGCTGGACTTGACGTTTTATTCTATTTGAACTGAACAGATTCATTCAACACAATCTGATCAGACATTGCACACATACTGTACTGTATATTCATGATGGTGATGTTTCTTACTATAATTATCATTATTAATATCCTGGGCTTGATTGAAGAGTTTGTTGCAAACGTACACACTTTTCATGTGACTGATGAGTTCAGGAATTAATTCCTGTTTCAGTGTCACTCTGGGATTGTGCCATCATCATCACACTGTCGTACAAAATATTACATCAGACTAAAAACAGCAGCATCGCGCTCATTGAACATCTAGTATTTATTAATTATCCACATCAAACAGGTGACATAACAGGTTGCATACAAAAACCGCCTCCTTTGACTGGCTAACCCTAACGCTAAACTTGAGTTTGTAGAAGATGACTCATCTGACAACATTCCTTGTTTCAATTCAATTTTATTTATATAGCGCCAAATCACAACAACAGTTATCTCACTGCGCTTTTCATAAAAGAGCAGGTCTAGACCGTACTCTGTGATGCTATTTACAGAAGCCCAACAATTCCCACCAAGAGCAGCACTAGGCGACAGAGGCAAGGAAAAATCAGTTGGGGGTGAAGGGGAGAGAGAGAGAGGGCAAGAGAGGAACAGAGACAAAGAAGGAGAGAGAGGGGAGGGAGGCAGCCTACACAATATACACACAGAGGTACAGACAGTAAAGGTGATGTTGCTGTAGACTAAATGGAAAATGGTACAGATATTTATAGTAGTGTTAATGATTATAATAACAATAATAATAATAGGACTAGTAACAATAGTCGTTGCAGCAGAGGGCGCTGAGCAGGAACACGGGGGCAGCAGGTGACCCGCAGCCACAGATCCAGACTCCACAGCTCCAGAGCCAGAAAACCTGCAGGAAGTGATAGGAGGAGAGAGGAGAGGGACGAGAAAGCACAAGACTACCAGAAAGGGGAGAAGTTGTGTTAGTAACATGCATTAATGGGATGAGGTTGCATACAGAGGGATAGAAAGTAGAGGAGAGAGGAGCTCAGTGCATCATGGGAGGTCCCCCGGCAGTCTAGGCCTATAGCAGCATAACTAAGGGATGGTTCAGGACTCACCTGAGCCAGCCCTAACTATAAGCTTTATCAAAGAGGAAAGTCTTAAGCCTACTCTTAAATGTGGAGATGGTGTCTGCCTCCTGAACCCAAACTGGAACCTGGTTCCACAGGAGAGGAGCTTGATAGCTGAACGCTCTGGCTCCTAGTCTACTTTTGGAGACTCTAGGAACCACAAGTAACCCTGCATTCTGGGAGCGCAGTGCTCTGGTGGGGTAGTAAGGTACTATGAGCTCTTTAAGATAAGATGGTGTCTGACCACCAAGAGCTTTGTAGGTAAGAATCATTTTGCATCATTTTTAGACAGGATGTTCCTGATTTTCGCAATATAATATATAACGTAGGTGAAAAAAGGCGGTCCTTGAAATTTGCTTAATGTGAGACTTAAAAGACATGTCCTGATCAAAGATAACTCCAAGATTCCTCACAGTGGTGCTGGAGGCCAGGGCGATGCCATCAAGGGAAACTATATCTTTAGATAATGCGTTACGGAGGTGCTTAGGCCCCAGAACAATAACTTCAGTTTTATCTGAGTTTCCACATCTCTGTAGACCTGCTGTTGGTTTTCATACCACTGAACTCTCAAGTGACCATTCACCTCTGCACTGTAACCCAACTATACTATCCCACCATGCAACTGTGATGGACTGTTCTTGCTGACGGACGGTTTGATCATGTCCTGCATTAACATTCTCAGTCTGAGGAAGAATTGCTCTCCTGTTTTACTTTACATATAGCACTAGTGCGTGAGCATCACGCTCTCATTGAATGTGCGCTGTCGACCACAATTTCTACCCTGTTTATCCATTTAAGTTTATTTGACAGGGACCTGATACATTATACAGAGATAAAGCTAAAAGCAAATGTTCATCCCCAGTCCCTGGGGAGGTGAGCAAAAATACAGCTGCACATTACATACAACAAGCATGATACATTTCGGTATGTATGCATGCACATGGATAGTTGTGGTTGTTATAAAAACACAGAGTTTTTATTTTCATTTGTTTGCCAGGAAATGACCTTTGGTATCAGGATTAGCACTTACATACTGTCAGAACTTTTTACAGTCCACATTTGTATTGCTGTATCATCTTCCTTTAATGGAGTCTGGCTCCCTCTGCTGGCAGGTATGCTGTGTGCCGCTCCGTCAGAGCTGGGACGGTGTATGTGTGGAACTTGACCAGACGGCGCTTCGTCTGCCGACCAGTCAGAGTGGAGCACGGCCTCTACAGCAACACTGATGTGGTGCTCGCCCAGGACTTCAAACTGTACATCTTTACAGACAGAAGCACAAACCACAACATGGATGACCATTCATATCTATTCCAGGTCCGACTCTCTTTGATGTAAATGTTCTTATCTTCATCTGCTCATCTTGAGTGCATGTGTTCAGTAGGTTGGGAATTACTGAACCAACCACACCTCTGTCATAGTAACATATCCGTCATGTTTGTCCTCCCAGACTCTTCTGGTGTATGATTTGATTAAGCGGCGCTATGTGAGTAGACAGACTGGGATCGCAGTTATTACATGTCCTCGGCATGAATACTGTCTTCTCGATCATGGACGGACACTTCTAGGCCTATCAGAGACCAGGTGAGGGTTAATGTGTCAAATACAGGGAGTGTGGGAAGTTGACATACAATTAATTTGAGGCTCCGTATGATCCAGACACCCTGCAAACATTTATTCCTCACACAAATGTCATTGAAATGCATAGCACGTTCACATTGTAGCAGAAAGGGGGGAAAGAAAAAATGCAGATTAACCATTTCCAACCTTAACAGGAAAGGAAGGTGGGAATATAAATTAGAGACACACGTGAGGTGGGGAAGGAGGAAACTAACAAAGGCAGCATGGAAAAGAACAGAGAGGAGGAGTGAGAGTATCTAAAGAAAGAGATAACTAAAATTTGATTTCAGTTTCTGGAAATCTTCACCCAAAAAAAAGTAGTGACTTCTATCAAAGTAAACAGACTGGTAGTTGTTCCAAGAACCAGCTCGATTTCCTGGACTTCCTGGATAATAATGTGCTGCTCCCTGGAGCAGGGTTTTAATGGACATTTTGTGAATAAGAGACTTTATGTTTGACTAATAACAAAAAACATTTAATTGGATTACTTTTAATTTATTTTGATTATTATTTGGTTTCAATACGAAAAGATTTAATTGATGATGACGACATGCTATGCTGGTTATCTCTCCAACTTGTTTTTCTCAATATATTGAAAGTGACAGGATTAGGATTGTGATTATTCTCATGTCTGCTGCCAAACTCTTACTTTCGATTATTGGGAACAAACCTACACTACAACATGAACCAAATAAAATTTAAAATGAACGTATCAAACATGTTAATGAAGATATTCTTACGGTATATTTATCATACCAACCTTCAACATCCAATTTCATCAAGCTGAATCCCAGTTAAATCTCTGTCTGTTGCGTGTTGTTGCAGAGAGCATCTGATCCTTTGGGATCTGGACTCTGGCTCTATCAAACATGAGTTGAAACCATCCCACAGAGAGTCGCTCCTGTGCAGCAGCTCTGTCCGAGACTTGCAGCTTAATGCGACACCACGCAGCGAGACAACATGTGAGCTGCCTGTTCCTGCCTCTGTAAACACATATTAGTAATCATATTTCCCATGATTATGGAAGAGATCAGATAACATTGATTTTTTTTACATTGGGTGGTTAGCTGAAGCACAAATCAAAACCAGTTGACATATTGCCATATTAGTATTAACATCATTCCCTAGACAACTTTAATATCAAGTAGTTAGTCCTGTGATAATATCCTAAAAACATTGTACATAAGTACTGGCATAAGGTGTTTCCACCGTCCAGCTGTTGCTGCAGTTATTCCTGCTACATTTCATCCTTTATGTGAACGTGATCTGAGTACAGCCAGAACATGAATACCTTTATTACACTAGGATGGCAACGCAAATGGCCACCCTCTGATCTGTGGATAGTAGAAAGCTTAAAATATGAGACATGGAGTGAGTGGTGTGTGGTTCTAAATGGGAGACCAACACCCTAGCAAAAACTTCAACTTCTGTGTTAAGAATTGACAGTGATCTGTATTTGGTCGGGTCCTTTTTAAGTCTGGATATTACAGCAATTAAAGCTGTATTCAAATCTCTTAAAATAGAAACCTCGGTCAAAAGATGAGTGAAGCATGGCTAAACTATTGCCTCAGCACGTACTGAAAGGTGAGGCAGAACTTTGGGGGAATCCCATCCAATCTTGCAGACTTCCCCTTAAATAGAAGCAATACCCCTGATTGCCTGACTGCAATTGTGAATCGTAGTCACACTCTGTGGTGTCAAAATGATTTTTAGACAAATAAGAGTAATCTACAAAATACACTGTGATCTGCAAACACATGTCTTGAAACAACAGTTTGACAATACAATGCTGCAGTTAATGATGCAGGAGCAGCTTACTCTTCCAGCTGGATCTCTCAGAATGCCCAAAACTCTAAAGTATTTGTCTGAATTTTGCAAATTTTACACACAGTGGCTTTAAAGTGGTGAACAGTGGAAAAAATTCAAAGTAAACAGACTGGTAGTTGTTCCAAGAACCAACTCGATTTCCTGGACTTCACTCACTTTTCCTCATTTAGATATCAGTATATGTGGTCGTCACAATACCAGGAAACAACAACACATAGGGCAGCTGTTGGGGGTGGTGATGGAGCAGTGGATAAGGTGTATGTATGCCTTTGGTGTGAGAGACCTGGGTTCAACTCCCCACTGTGACACATCCACCAATGTGTACCTAAGCAAGACACTTAAGCTGATGATACATGGGGCAACTTTTTGAGCAATGTTGGTGGCAAGTCCGACTGTTTTGAACAGACAGCAGCGGTACGGGGAGGGTGACGGAGTGGCGAGAGAACATTACCATTGACAGCAACATTGCCCAGCACCGTTGCTCCGTGTATCATCATCTTTAACCTCTAGTTGCTCCAGAGGCGTGCGACCTCTGACATATAGCAATTGGAAGTCGCCTTTTTAAATGTAATGTAATGATGTATGGCTCAGGAGGTGAGCAGGTCGCTTACTAATCAGAAAACTGGCAGTTCGACCCCTCAGCTCCCCCAGTCTGCATGTTGAAGTGTCCTTGGGTAAGATACTTAACCCCAAATTGCTTCAGATGGCTGTTCCATCAGTGTATGAATGTGTGTGAATGGGTGAATGTGACGTAGCGTAAAAGTGCTTTGAGTGGTCGGAAGACTAGAAAAGGGCTACACAAGTACAGACCATTTACCAAAGATACATGATTATGTCCATAAATCTCTGCATTCCACCTGCAGGTAAACTTAGTCCTTTCAACCCCTCACAGATACCTTTTGGACTATGTTTGAAGCAATAACATAGAAATCATCAATCCTTTCTTTAAAACTTCTTGTTCAATCAGTCTTCAGATCTGGATGGGCCTGTAGTTCTAGGTAACTTTGGTTTTATCTCCTCCCACAGTGATGCCGTGGGACATTCGGACAGAGAGCCAGTCTGCAAAGAAGAGAAGGCTGGAGAGAGAGGCAGAAAGAGAGAAAGAGGTGAAAAGGAGGCTGGACAGAGAGAAATACAACTCTATAGACCAGTACGTCCTCAGTGGAGATGAACAGGTACACTGGAAAAGAGGATGGCACAATAAGAGGAGAGGATAACCCATCTAAATCACAATGTTTATCTGCAGAGAATATTGCCATGGTTTTAGGCTGGTAAAGAGATATCTTTGTGCAGATCTCGTGCAATAGTTCTAAATTGCTTGATGTCACAGAAGGGAGGAAGAGAGAGATGGGGACAGATATTCCTGGCCACTATTGTTGTCGAGATGATAATTATTTTGATATTCAACCAGCACTTTTTTATGATTATCTTTTAGCATTTTGCATTTATTTCATAGTAATAGTGTGTTTGATAGAAACAATGGGGTATAATATGAAAGACTATAGCTAGAATCAGCGTTATGGACATTATGTGGTATGCCTCTTACACCATTAAGTCACCAGCATGTGTTTTGTACCTTTTTTACTTTATGTGTAAGATTAAATTAATGACTTTTGGATACTGTTGTTGCAAGTGTGACTGCATGTTACAATAATAATGTCACTGCATAAATGTTTTGAGGTTATTGGCTTCATCACATTAACTTTCATTACTTTGTCAGCAGCTGTTGTATTACTGACTTGTACATTCCCCACCTTTATTTTTTAGGTGGTGGTGTGCTCCTACTTTGCTCACCACCTCAATGTCTTCAGCATGATTTTGCATGAACACCTCCACACCTTGGAGGATAGAACATCACTGCTGAGCCTCCACACTGCCGCTATTACCTACACTGGCAGTCACCTGGTGCTGACTCACTACAACCAAGACCAGAGGAACCCCTACGTCACCCTCTGGGACCTGCACAAAGGAACGGTGTGTTACAGTTTGCTTGAGCTTAAACTTGAACTGTGCTCTTAAAATTAATTTTTAAGTTTATTTTAAACAGTTATTTCATGTATTTTTCAGTTTTCTGTTGACCAAGATATGCATTATTTGAGGTTTTATTATGTTTTGTACAAATTCCTTTAGGTGAGGAAAGAACTGAGGAATGAGGCTGGAGTGTGCTGCGTAGCTATCACAGATAATGCAGACAGAGTTGTCTTTGGGGTCACAGGAAGAAACAGGTACATGTGTTCATCTTTGTGAAGTCCATATTATTCATCACTTCGACACTGTGCTCTTCCATTGTTATGCAGATCACACACAGTTGTATGTCTCATAGTACTGAAATTGTATTAATCTGGATTCTCTATGCTGTCCAACTTCTTCCAGCTGATAACACTGAACTTGGACCACCTGGACCACTAACTCAAAACACTCACATTTGGGAGTTGTTTTCAGTTCACACAGCATATTAAGAATCTTGCTATTTACAAATCAGAAATATTAAGTTAAATAAAAGTTAAACCAATGCTCCCCAAAAACATAGCTGGCATACTTATTGACATCCTCATTTTGTTACGTGTATGGTGTGGGGACAGAGTGGACCCAAATGCAACGTACAAGTTTGGACAGGTTTTATTAGGGGAAAGAAGGGGTTGAGGGACTGGAGTTGAGAGTGAGGTGGATGCCGGGGGAACGCAGGCACGGGGAACCTGAGGAGACAGGGACCAGAGAGCCGGGGGGACACTGGGGCCGAGGAAGAGAGGAGGCACAGGAGAACTGGGAGGACGCCGTGGGGAAAGGGCAGGTGAGCGAGCCCAGCTGACTGGACTGGGTGAGTGAACCTGGGGAGAGACAAACAGGCTCAGACACAGCAGGGACAAAGCACAGGGAAATAGGAAGGATGCAAAATACGTGCAAGCTTGAATGTTGAAGTGGCACCGGGTAAGGAGCAACGACGATCAAGCAGAGGTAGTGTGGAGAACCTGGGCTGAAGTACTGGCAGAGGTGGAGTTGATTGCTGGCAGGTGTGGCAGGCAGAGGAGGAGGTTGATGAGATGCAGGTGCGGGTTGTTGGCTGGGCTCAGGAGCGGAGGGAGAGAGAGAGAGAGAGCACACACAGGGGAGGAGACACAGGGAGGCAGGCAGAGAACAGGAAAAACAGACTCACTCATTCAGATGAAGAAAAGGAGAAATAACCAGGACACTCACCGTCAGGGTCTTTGTAGAGGGGTCCCCTATCTAAAACTAGTATTAATACTTTTAACATATTAGTTGATATTATAGTTACATAGTGCATATTCATGAATTGATTTGCATTTAATCAACCCATAACCTATTGGGTTAATCCAGCCCTGCTGTCTGCCTTCACAGTCTGTAACATTAACCTGTCCCACCACAGTCGGAACACCTCCTGTTGTCTGAGATGATAATGATGCTAATCATGCTGCTTCTGGGTTCCACTAGCATTTTGCTAACAAGACAAACCCGACAGTGAATTCTATAAGTAAGTGTTAAATGCTTTCACATTTTAATAATTATGTTCTCCATGTTTACTCTGACAGACTGAAGGTGTGGGATCCCTTCAAGGGAAACTATAGGAGCATCTGTGGCTATGAGAATCTGACCATAGAAGTCTCCAGTAAGCTGTACATGACAGAAGGAGGAACCAAAGCCATTCTGTTGTCAGGTAAGAAACAAACTTATTAAAGCTCTTTTAAAGCAATGGAAAGATGTAGTAGGGCTTCAGTCATATGACTGAGGTATGTTTGTCTTCACACTCTGGAGCTAAGGCTCTTTCACATTAAGGTGGCATATTACAGCATGTTTTCACACTTTCAAGCAAGTGTAATCAGTGCAGACCCAGGCTGCTATATACGGCTATTTTAACATAATAAACTGGCCATTTATGTGCTATTACGATTTATTATATTAGAAATTGACCACATTAAAGGGTTGATTAACCCACATTGTTAAATAAATAAAAAAATCAAGTAGAGAGCTTAAGTGACTTATAAGTATTGAAATTTGTGTGAACTGACTCATTAATGCTTTAAAAAAATGCAGGATAACTATTCAGTGATTTCTTGAACCCGGGTCGCTGCGGTAAGGACTCAGCAGGTCACAGTTTTAATCATTCCCGTACACTCAGCCGTCAAACTTCACCATGTGAGTCTTTGTGTGCGTGTCTTTAGGACCTTTACGTTGGCAGGACCAGTAGTTCTTATGGGGACCAAAGCTCTGAGTCCTGGTGGTCCTGATTCAGTATATTTAAGCTGATTAAAATGATCATATGATGTGCTTAAGTTAAACCGGAGAGTCATTTGCACTAAACAACTGCCGACCTGTCTGAAATTCAAGGCAATCACAAAAATAATTTATCTACAGCAGTCTACAGGTCCCCCACTTGTGGCCACACAGGCCACTGTTCATAAAAAATCCAAGTTACACAGAGTGGCATGTCTGCTTTGATAAAACTATCTTTGTCTAGGTGTAACTGCTACAGACCTTCATATCGGACAGGAATCAGTGTTAATTAGCTGAGTACATTTGCCAGCGACAGTTATTATTTAAACTGGTGAAATCAGTTGCCAACTAAAACTAAAAGACCTGCACACCCACACCGGTGTTTTGAGTTACTTTGCTTGATGAGACCTAAGATTGCTTAGGTTGAAGGTGGGCAGAGCTATGCTGATAATTATTTGAGGTCACCAAGCTCTGTATATTTGTCCAAATTTGCCAACGGGAAAAGTAAATTAAGCTTAGTCTTTCCACACCCAGTCTGTCCTGAAAACAGATCTAATTAGCCAGTAAAATGTGCGGGTGGACCATGGATGTGCCTTCATGCCTTCCAACCTTCTACAATTCGACACTCTTCATTATGATTACTGGAATTGCCCTCAAAGACTCTTGCAATTTGAAAATCATACTTTCAAATCGGATCGTCGATTTAATGCCACAAAAGTTTTTTGTATATCAAACCAGGAAGTCCAGTTTGAGTCAGAGCAGATTCTGAATATTTACTATTTATCAGACAACAGAACACTGCACAGAGGTTCATAATACTCTGAGACAGCCTGTACACGTTACAACTCCATCTACAGTAGAGCTACGTGCTGGTCGAAGCCATCAGAGCGAGGGGATTGAGGGCGTGGCCATGCAGTCAATTTTTGACTTGCAAAACTTTCTCACTTGCAAAACGGTTTAACCTGCAAAACTTTGACTCGCAAGGAAAATCTATTGACTTGCAATCAAAGAGGACATATTAGCAATTAAAACTTTTTGTGACACAAAAAAGGCCTGTTTATTTTTAATTACAAACTTGAGTTTTGACTGCAGTGCGATACATCCATCCATCCATCGTCAACCGCTTATCCTGCGTACAGGGTCATGGGGGGGCTTGAGCCAATCCCAGCTGACATCGGACTCAAGGGCGGGGTACAGCCTGGACAGGTCGCCAGTCCATCGCAGGGCCACACATAGACGACCAACCACTCACGCTCACACTCACACCTAAGGACAATTTAGGGTCACCAATCAACCTAGCCTGCATGTCTTTGGATGGTGGGAGGAAGCCGGAGCACCCGGAGAGAACCCACACAACCACCGCCCATAGTGCGATACATATGCTCTCAAAACATTTTTTTTTTGCTTGCATTAAAAAGACTAAAATTACTGCATAATGTTGCTTTAGAACACAGTTTGTGAACAGCAGTAACCACAGGTGTCGCCAAATCATATGGGACTGAAATGATCAGGATTTTAAACACACATAACTCCCAAAAATCAGTTCACTAAAAAATGTATAAGAGAAAAACTATTCATGTGAAACATATTAATCACTGTCATAACATACACAGCAGAATGTATTCATGTGCAACAGTGACTTTTTATGTTATAATAATCCAGGACAGTTGAGCCTGTGGGACCTGGAGGCACGCAGCGTCCTGTCTGTGCTCACCCTGGATGCACATGTCCGCTGTATGAGGCTGCTTCGTGGACGTGAGATATCCGTCCTGCTTGGCCTTAGCCACAGCTCCGCCCTCATCAGCATCAAGTCAACATCCAGGATTGTCAGCTCAGCAGCTCAAGTGGCTCAAGACAGCGACCTGTTTGGAGAGTCCAGCAGCAGCGAGGGAGAGGAGGACTCGTAGGCCAATCAGTGATGGACAGAAATCATGACAGAACAAATTAAATCCTTATCATGACACATGGAGTGTGAAGAAATATACTTAGGAGAAAAGATGTTGTGCTGATAAACACCATTACACTGATATATGTGTCATAACTATGCACTTTATCTGCATTACATCCCCCAAATAGTTATGCAGGGTATTTGTGGTGTGATTATTAGTTTTTATATTTAAGATAGTTACACTATAAACTGCAAATAAACAGAAATGTCATAATATCATCCAATATCCATGAATTTATATAAATGTCAGTAAATGGTTTATCCAGAGGGAAGGTAAACAAGTTCTGATGCCTTCAACAGTGTGCATGACACCAAGTCACTGAATGTGAGGGATAAAAACTCATATACAGCGATAAATTTCTGTAGTTAGCTTCGCTGGCTAAAGACATTTAGATTTTTTACATCATTGAGTGTAGACTCAATTATAGTGTGTATATATGTGTTCTCTAAACTATAGCCTGTGTGTGATTTTATTATTGTATAAGTAAGCACTTCGTGAGCATTGTCCAATCCAGAGTCAAATTCCTCGTATATGTACACATACCTGGCAATAAAAGCTGATTCTGATTTTAGATCCACCTGTTAGTATAATGCAGGAAGTTCAACAGTATAAACTACAGCCTCCAAAATGATTAAAATTATAAAATTTTAAACCAATTTCAACATTAGAACCTGTATTAAACTGCATTAGGTTTAGCTCGGTGTACCTAATAAACTGGCTGTTAGTGTGTATGGAAGCTTGCAAATGGACCTTTTGATGAACAGTGACATTTTTTGGGCAATTACAGAATCAGTGGCAGAAAAAGTAGGAGATTTTTTACTTAAAGAGTAATTTGGCACCTTTTATGTGGATGTCCAGTCAGTGTTGATGGTAAATGTAGTCAACTGAAGCAATAAATTCCTCATTGGAGTGCTATATTAACCAAGAAAGCAGAGTTCTCCTGCTGGCAGAGCTTCGCGGGCAGTGCCTACATGTACCAGGATGCTTTGAGAGCGAGTTTATGATGCCCACGCCCACCCAGTTGGCCACTGCAGCCCTGAGCATTAGGTGACAAAAATACTCACACAGCGGTCATCTGCCCTGTCGGCCTTGCTGGTCTTGGTTGTCTTTTCCAGTTTATCTTCAAAATCATGAAGAAGTCTCTAGCACACCTCTGTCCAAGTGAGAAGTAAAAACTACTCTATAGTTAGGTTTAAATCAGGCAGTGGGGTGTTTGATTATGAAAATGGACACGTTAAGTATAGTAGTTCTAATATTTACATCTTACAGTTTTGTAATTCTGGTAAGAGTTGTGATGACAGGAATGAAATTATGGAGACCACCATGCAAACTTGTGCCCCCTGAACTTTATAATGCTCATTAGAAAAAACAAAACTTTTGGATGGATAAACAATAAACAAAGAGATAACAACATTCCACTGGTGAGGCAGAAATCCAAGGTTTACCTGTGGTGAGGCCTTTTGCTGGTGGCATGCACAGGAAAGGCTATGCTGGGACATAATCAAAAGGCCTTTTCCTCTATACACTGGCCAGTTAAGGACATGTGAGGATTTCAAACTCTACACTGTCAGACTACTCAATTAGTCAGTTTAAGTGGTCTAAGGTTCTTTGTCAGCCTCAGCTGGACTTAAGCTCAGCTGTGCTTTGAGGTGAATGCTTACATTAGCATGCTAACATTTACATTTGGCTCAATGCTGGAAAAACTAGACATTAACATGCATGTTAACATCAATGTTATAGTAACAATCTTACATTTAGTCTGTTACATGCTATAAAAAAAATACTTGCCTTATAAACAGCATCAGTTCTTTTAGGTACACTTGCACAAAGCCATGGATTTTGTAGGCATATCGTCAGGTGTATGATTAAACAGTTACACCAAACAGGTGCTAATGATCACCAATTCAATATGTAGGTTGAAACACAGTCATTAAGTGAAAGAGAAACAGCTGTGTAGGAACAGCCAAACTCAGCTAACAAGGTGAGGATGCTGAAGACAGTTTACTATGGCAAGACTGAGTACAGCAACAAGACACAAGGTAGTTACACTGCATCAGCAAGCTCTCTCCCAGCCAGATGAAAGAAGAAAGAAGCATAAGGAAACAGTTAACGGTGAGGACCGTAGACGCCGTGGTCGGCCAAAGAAACTTACTGCTAGATGAAAGACGTCATGCTTACTTCCCTTCACAATCTGAAGATGTCCAGCAGTGCCATCAGCTCAGAGCTGCAGAAAACAGTGGGTCCCTGGTTCACCTTCTGTCCCGAGAAGTCTGGTCAGAAGTGGCCTTCATGGAAGACTGGCGGCCAAAAAGCCTTCGACATGGAAACAAGGCCAAGAGACTCAACTAAGCAGGTGCAGAAAAATGGCAGCAGGCGCTCTGGAATGATGGGCCAAAATTTGAAATATTTGGCTGCAGCAGAAGGCAGTTTGTTCACTGAAGAGTGGAGCAAGAGTGTCTGCAGGTGGTGAAGCATGGTGGAGGTTCCTTGTTAGTTTGAGGCTGCATTTCTGCAGTAAGATTTGGGGATTTGGTCTGATCAGGAGGGTTCTCCAAGATGTTTGGGCCGACCTACCTGCTGAAGTCCTCCAAAAACTTTGTGCAAGTGTACCTAGAAGAACTGATGCTGTTTGAATTCTTACTTTACAGAATGTTATCCTTTTGCACTGTACCGTATCACTAAAGGCATTAGGATTTATCCTCTGGGGAGAACCAATATCTCAGAAATGTGTACCATCTATGAAATACTTAAGGAGGTATTTGAACTAAAGTGTTAGACCAACAACTGGTGACTAACATTGCCATTCCAGAGGCCCTCTGCAAATGTGGCTAAAAATAATATTAATGTGGATAGTGAAAAACAGTCCTAGCAAAATGGCACAGCAGACTGTACAGAAATCTGGTTACATACTTGTTGCCAAAGAAGAAAAGAGAACTGAATGGCAACTGAATGACTTTACTTTGTTTTAATGAATATAAAAGAAATGTACACAATAGTGATAGTGAACCAGTGAAAACATAAAGTCCACATACATGATGTCCTATTCCAGTGTCCCATCAACAATCGTTTCCTCAATTAAATATCAAATCTCTTGATAGATTATTCTCTACAAGCCATTATTGTTTAGAGAAACACTGATTTCAAATGACTAAGTACAATTAAGAAGTAAAAGAAAACAAAGTTTGTTTGGCCAAAACTGAAGCAGGAATACCTTATTCTCATTAGAATCATGTCCAGAATGAAAAGGGATAGAGAACCAAAAGACGCTTTCATTTTCTTCTCTTAAATCAAAATGGAAAAGATAAGTCTCACGAAAAGCAAAACACTCAAGGAAGATGGCCGCTTCAAGCCGATGACTCTTGCTGTACCTGGACTCCCGACAGTCTACAGTAGAGTTATAGCCAGCGGGAACAATCAGTGATGGAACAGCAAATCAATCACAACGGTCCTTGATTAATAATAAGCGCTGCTACTAATGGTGCTGATTGTGCTCTTACAACATAACGATTACTGTTTTCAACTACAGCTGATAATCTCAACCCTCAGGCTGAAGACATCTTCCAGATGAGTGAGGAGCAACTGAAGACGGGTCACTACCTGGATCTGCGGTCTTTTCTGTTTTTGTCAAGGCTTTTGTCCATGGTCTTTTCGCTGTCCCCTCTGCATTTGGGGCAGTACCACTTGCCCTTGGGCTTGTAGGTCAGCCCCACACAGGAGAAGTGGAACCACTCGATGGGGCACTGGTCGTTGTCGCAGCCAATCATCTCACCATACGACACCTGCTCGCAGAGGCAGTAAGTGGGCTCGTTGGGGTCGATGGCGAAGTCGACCGGCGAGGCGTCTCGCTCCTGTTTGGCCTTGCGTTTCTTCTTCTTCGCAGACTTGGACTTCTTCTCTCGGGGCGGAGGAATGGACAGCTCCTCCACAGGGTCGTCCACTAGAGAGCCATTGGCTGACGGGTGGCTGGAGTCACGGCTCTCGCTGTTGCGCTGGCGTCGGGGGCGCCGGGCCGAGGTGCGCTCAGGGGCCGGGGAGTCCTGGACGCTGGAGCGCCGCTCTGTAGTGAGCCGCTCGGCCTCGCTTGGCTCCTGGAGGCACAGGGAGTGGGAGTCCATCTGGCGGGAGCGGTTCTCCACCAGCTCCGTCATCTGGGTCACTACGTGGATCTTCTCGTCGCCCAGCTCCTGGCTAATGATGAGCGCTCTCTGCAGCTGGACCTGCAGGCGCTTTCTCTGAGCTGCATCCTGCTCACCTTTGTACTTCTCAAATACTTCATCCACCTCCTTCAGCACCTCTGCAAAGTAAGATAGAAAAAGAAAAGGAGGGAGGTCTTTATATTTTTTTTATTAATTAATGACACTGAGAATCAAGAGTGATAAAAGGAGATAGTTTAGAAAAAAATATATATAATAATATATAGGCAGAAAAAGTAATAATATTCAAATGTGTTTTTGTTCTTGTTCCTTGGCTGTCCTGTAGACAGATGTATGTGCAGAGTTTGACACCAAAACGATGTTTTTACATTCATCTGCTGAAGGGGAAAGTTTCTCGGTACTCATCTTAAATCTCAGTTTAACACCTGGACGTACCAGCAGCACATCACAACTAGTTTGGAAACCATTCGTGGTCCTGCATGTAACTTGGAGGCTAGTAACATGCAAAAAATATACAGAAGACAGACAGAAGTGATGATCAGACAGTTATGGAAAACAGGGCAGGTAGAGGTCAGTGCTAAACGCATATTAGTGTGGATATGGAAAACCGTTTTAACATTTATTCCTTAAAACTTACGGATCACTATTTAAAAAGCTGCTAGTACTTAATTGTTACTAACTATTTCTGTTTTAATAGTAACAACTGATTAGGTACTAGTACTTAGGACTCGTCAATAAAACAATAATGATATTTATCACAATATAATTGTCCTCAATAACAATTCATTTACATCACGAACGAATTAGCACTTAATTTTTCTATTAAGATGTTTATTTTCTTGAGGAAAAGGGACTGAAAAAAAAAATTTACTAATCATATTTTATATATATATTATCATAATAGTTTTGAATGTTCTCCTCAAATTTGGCAAGTGATCCACTGTTTGGCATTAAGTGTTTGTCACGTTCTGACCATAAAGAAAAGTTTAACCACACAGTTAACCATCTGGTGTCTTTAATATTCACTCAGGAGCAAAAATCAACCTTTAAACTTGAAAGAAATA